GAGTAAGTGCTCAGCAGAGCCTGACAGGGAAAGTTAGGTAGCAGGCTGGTTTGTGTGTCTCGTGGGAAACGCTTTCAGATGACCAGAAAGGATTTTCTCCCTGTGAGAGTGAGGACCTTCCACTTGGCTGGGTGTCTTGTCTGGGAGCTTACGAAATTCAGATTGCCCCAACCTGGTCACTTGAAATTAGTGTGACTGATTGAAGATCCCTTTTCCAAAATGCTTGGGGTCAGATTTCTAAGTATTTCAGATTTGGTGTTATTTGCATAGAGTTTACTCATTGATAGTCCCAAGTCTGAAACTCCAAAATCTAGAATGCTCCAAAATCCAAAGCTTCTTGAGAATGGCACTTCAGACTTCAGAGTTTGGAGAGTGTCATATTATAGCTGCTCAACCTACATTACCTTGTGTGACTGCAGGGTCAGCTTTAGCGGTCACCCTGCCAGGGCCTAGCCCCAGGTTTCCAGAACAATTCAGCCTAAGGGAAAAATAGTGGTCTCCAGGCTCTAAAAGATCTGTGCTTTTCAGTGTGGATTACCTGAGTTTTCTAATACACTTTTTACTTAAAATTAGCCTATTCGTTTATGTCAAAATAGCCACTCTGAGTTACAGCAAATGAAACCTGTCTACTCTCCTACTCACCGTATATGTTTCTCTGCTTTGGTGCTGGGATTAAACTCCAGGCCTCTCCTGGGCTATGTGTCACTGAGCTCCATCCCCAGCCCTCGAGGTATCTTTTGTTAACATGCAATTTATTCCTCTAAATAGCCTTCTGAATGGGACAGAAGATTTAAAGATAAGGGAATGAGGAGAGGACAGAGGCAAAATCGCACAACAATTTAATGCTGAATTGCATGCTGTAATCATGTCACTAGAAGACTTGTGGCCTTGATGTCATGGGCCCTGCTCTGTCACCAGCATCACAAGGCAGGGCCTGCCGAAACCCAGGTCATGATCAAGACATGTCTTTAGGAGAGAATTAGTGTAGGATGTTGCCCAGAAGCACGTCTGTGTGATCTTTGTCTCATCATTATCTGTCCACCTGGGTCACTCTCTATTCCTAATGTGATCATGTTTTCTAGATTCTCATAACTTGTGCCTAGTCTTTGCAATAAATCAACTTCACTTGCCCCTTTCTAGTCCAATTCTGTTATGTGTGTTTATTATTTATGTGTTTGTTTTTACTTGGGTTTCTAGACATTTTCACTGGAGGGATTGCTTTTTGCACCTACTGTTCAGTTATTGGGTTTTTAAAAAGATGATTTGGAGCTTTAATAGCCCTTGTAATGCCTTTCTCCTTCCATGGGAGGCTTTGCATGTTTTCTCCATTTCCTTCCTGGTGTCCTCCTGCCAGCAATGCAGCCAGCTAGACTGCAAGATGCTGCCTGTCACCCAAGCTCCTACTGCTCGATAGTCATTGAGTCAATATGCTGTGATGACCCTAGGAAGGATATATTTCTAACGGAGTTGCCCTCAGCATTTAGGTGTTCCTGTTTTCCTTTCCAGCGTGCTCTGAATGTTAATCTCTGCTTTCTGCCTGCTTGTTATCCATTGAAGTCAGAGCCTTAATTAATTTGCTGTTGCCATCTGTGTTTTAATCAAGTGAATTAATGCTGGGCAGGCACGAGGAGCATTAACAGTTTGTCCGCTTATCACTTTTGAGAAGTCACTGTAACCTGCTGCATCATCCTAGCTACACACATTGCCCCTGTATGTATCCTGTGAGCCACAGGGGGCCTTGGGTACCATCAGCCCCATAATTAAAACCTGCTGAGTGTTCTGAACAGCAAACTGCACAGGCTGTAGGAGTTAGCTTCATTAATGTGCTTCACTTCCTTTCATTATTCTGTTTTTAGGGTTTTTTTCCCACATAGCTCAGTGAGTTCTTGAATATTGGGAGCCAGCAGTAGGTGCAGGAGGCCTCTCTCTGCAGCTCTTTGGAACTTGATCAGCATTGACTAGGGTCTGAGTGAGGGATGTTCAGATTCCGAGCACTGGGACTGGAGGCCTCCCCTATTTCCGCAGGCTTCCCTGCTGCAGGGGAGTCCACTTCCTGTGTTTCCAGCTCTCCATCACAGAACACCGCAGCTCAGCACACTCAGCAGGGCTTCCCCGAGGCTCTGAGCCTGGTCCCGCAGCTGCTGCTGTGAGCACACAGCTCTTGCTCATAGAGGACACAGTTCACTTTTGAAAACTTGTTTTTCAGCTTCATTTTGTGCATATTCTATGAACACACAGGAGAGTGAGGCAGAAAGCTGACGGGCAGTCCTGTATGTTAATAATTAGCCCATGCAGACAAACATTGGCCACCATTGTCTTCTTACTGCAAAGTGTTGGCAGTGCCAGTGTTTCTCACCAGTAGTTTAAAAGGCAAGAATTCAGATGGACCAAATGACCTCCAGAGCCCACTGCCACCGCCTCTGCCAGCCATTCTCTCAGGCCCTCCCACCACTACCAGGAAGCATGGCATAAAAAATAAGCAATGGAAGTTGTGCTGTGTGGCAAAAAGTCAGAGCAAGAAAGCATTGACTGAGAGGTCCTGCGGGACTTCCAGAGGCCCAGCGAGCATGCGTATGTAAGGGGGTGATCATAACCAAGTACATGTGCGTGTACAGTCACTGCGTGCTCCTAACCGCGTGTAGTAATCTATCGCCACACCACCCTGAATCTCATCTAAGTACATATGACAAGGAGATTGGAGCCGAGGATAGGAGGGCTGGGAAGCCATCTCTGAGAGTGACATTTGCATTGAAACCTCAAACACTAGACCTGGGAGAAACCATCAAATGAACCACAGAGGAGCAAGCATCGGAGTAGCCAAGGATGGGGGTTCAGGCAAAGACACCTGCTGTAGTTAGGGGTTGTACACAGAACAACTAGGATTAGGACATGGAGTTTATAATATTTTTATAATGGTCAACGGAAGTTAATACAGGAAAATGCAAGAAATCTATCCGCAACACTAAAGACATAGATTATTTAGTCAAGAGCCTAAACTCCACGACAATGTCCCATATGAGTCCAGATAAAAATCCAGAGCTCAGGACAGTTCCTCCCACAAGTCCCACTGGAGGTCCAGAGCCCACAAGAAGGACTCATGCCAGTCTGTTTTACGGATCCGTGCCGGGAAGACCCAAGGGTCAGCGGTGGAAGCCAGAAAGTCTATGCCAGCAGGATGAAGGAGCTGTGCTAGTGGGATGAGAAGAGCTAGAGCTGAGAAGTCACACTCATAACAAAGACCAGGGCTATCCTGAAAGGCACCACAGCCGTCCTCAGGGACATGGAGGCCCCGAGCTCCTCCGACGACAAGCACAGTCGGGTACGTGCCAAGAAGCAGCGTGACGAGTTCATCCTGGAGACCAGGCAGCACATGTCTTCCCCTCTGGAGCCAGGAAGCAATACTCGATGTGAGCACCAAAGCTGCTCCAGGAAAACCAACAGCTCAGACATCAACTCGTAGGAGAACCCACAATGCCTCCTTAACGTCTCAACCCTCAACACCTCCCTTCTTCTCCACCTATTTATCCTGGCAACTTTCCTCAGGCGGAGCATCTTTGCTCAATGCCATGCTGATGTAATCCAGCTGCGTTAAGTTGACCACCAGTTCTTAATCCATAACAACACCCCAACCAGCACATCCTGTAGAGCCTCCCTCCAAGCCCAGATTAGATCTTGGTGACCCCACTGTCCTCAGCCGTCCCTCGTTGCTTCCCAAAGAACTCCATTTTACACGAGGCCAAAGGGCAGTAAGCCCCATGATCCCATTCTCTTAGCCGCCTTGTCACTGAGCTGGTTTTAGTGATGGTCAACTCTTGGATATAAGGTACCAATTTGCCTAATCCCGGGCCCAGATCTGTTTTTCTTTCTTTAGTTATGTACATTCTTTCTTCAAAGTGGAGATTTTTCCTAGGCCTGGGCTACTACCTAGCCAAGACTGAGAGACTGGGAGAGGTTACTTTCTACAGTTGGAGCTGTTGGCAGACTGATTAAGTGTGGTCATGAATTCTGTAGATTTTCTAGGCTCCAGTGGTCTTCCGTGAATTGAATGGGAAGAGAAGGCTCCTCAGAAGGCTGCTGCTGTCAGGGAATCCACAAGCAGGGCATCGCTGTTGGATTTGGGACAAAGGAGCAGATAATAGTGTTCTCAAGTCTGTCTTCAGCAAGGATGTTAGAAGCCAGACAGACAGGGGAGAGACTGGCTTTTTACCTACCAAACTAGGACAGTCCTTAATGCCGGGGGCTTTTACTGATCTGTACCCTAGTGGCTCTGTAAGTGGAAAGTGAAATTTTTAAATGGTCCTTAAAGATCTTGTGAATGTCATCAATGCATTGTCTATATATCTTGGAGACCAAAGAGGTCGTAGGACTAAAAAGTAAGGAAACCCCAAGCAGCATCCTGGAGGAAATTCCAGGAGAGAAAAGTGGCATAAAAGACTCTCTGACCCCACGTGGATTTGGGAAGGTGATATGGATAGAAAGTTACAATGACATTTGTGTCCAGGCAAAGTTGAAGACTGTATTGCTGAGTGGAACAGTGCATGGAGCCAGATCCCTTGAGCTCAAATCTCAAAGCTAACCTGTGTGACCTGGCTCAAAGTACTTAATCACTGAGTTTCAGTTCCCTTCCAGTACTAACACCTATTTAAAATATCAATGTAGATCATTGGTGTGACACGCCTAGCACTGGGCCTGGACGTTTCTCCTGATGACTCCTATCACTTTTTGATTCCATTGTCATTCGGGAGGCCACCTGGAGTTGCTCAGGAGTGCTCTTCAGGCCGGCCTTGCAACTTCCTTCCATGGGGAGAGTGTGCGGCCTTTACATTTCCAGTGTACTCTCTCCTTGACTAGGCAATAAGTACCACCAACTACAGAGCAGTGGGTGGGTAGAAAGGAGCATTAGGTAAAGCAGAAGTGTCATAAGGCTTGGTGACATAAAAGGACTGCAAAACAAACACTCGTTTCTGTGTGTTTAACCCCTCTCCTCCTGCTGGCTGCAGGTTTTACTGTGCATCACCTACACCCCAACGTTTGACCTGAATGGGAACGCCGTGCTGAAGATCGCTGAGGTGAGTGTCCCTTGTCCCTGTGCTGCCTGCTCACGGCTGCTTTCTCTTGTGCTGGGATAATTACCAAAGTGACAGTGAGCCCCAGAATGGGGCAAGCTCTTCTGTGATTACCCAGGGAACTTCTGCAGCAAGCGTGCTGTGTGCCCACCATCCCCCTGCCCTCCCAGTGCTGCGTCTTAGTGCTCTGTATGTCTGCATTTGTTTCTCTTGAGACTTTGACCATGGAAATAAGGGTACCAGCTCCCCCTACTCCACTACACCCACTATATTGCTTTCTCAGTGTATTTTATCCCTGTGATTAATAGTAAAACATTTGACTTTTAAAAACGTCTTTTAAGAAACTAAGTCTGAGATTTAGGGGTGTTTATTGATTCAGCTCTATCACTGTCTCCAAGCTTTGATGAACACGTTCTATAGCTTCTCTCTTCAGGCTGTGCTGTGCTCTAGAGTAGTACCCAAGAACACATCCAACAGAAATCTTGGCTTCTCTAGTGTCTGGCATATGCCTTTGGCTTTTGGAAACATCATCATGCAGAGGATAATTTTCCTTCTGTTTCTTAAAAAGAGAATCTTCAGGATTTGTTGATTCTGGCAAGAATATATGTGCAGATCACAAAGAGGCAATGGTTTTCTAAATTCTGAGATGATTTGGAAGAAGGAAGCCTAGTGACCAGCATTCGTGGTATCTATATTAGTAGATACACATACTTTTGTGGTATTAATGAGTAAATTTAGTGAAAATCACTGAAGCATTTAGAAAATTTTCGTATGTCTATCAAAAGAGAAATAGCAGCTGTCAGATGACCCCTCACTACTCTGCAGGTCCATAAGTCACTGTCAAACACCTGTGTGCTTCACTCTATCACAGAGGAGTCACCAGTAATTGTTTTAATTTAAGAGCTGTGGTGAGCGCTCTTGTTACTTGTAGGTGCACTTGTGTCAAGACTGTAGTTTCCAAAAAGAGCAAGAAGCAGGATGAGCACGTGAGGCTGGTGAGCCCTGTGTCACCTGAAGGGAGATGGGAAGTGCTACGTGTCACTGTCCAGTGCTACCTGCAGATGCAGCCCAGGATAGGGGACAGTGCAGAGCCACCGGGCCTTCAGGAGGGGAGCCCTGTGCTCCACTCTACCCCTGAAAGGGAGGAGAAAGACTCTCCCTGTCATCCTCACAGAATGCACTTCCTGAATGAGGGCCTGGGGGACACAGTACGTGGTTCTAGGTGGAGACACACACTTCCATGGGCCACACAAGTGAGAGGTCACGCAAATAATTCTCTAGCCTCAGGCTTGCTGTCGTAAAAGTACCTATCTCGTAGTGTGGTTGTACCCATTAAACATGAAAGCTACAATCCACGTAAAAAGCTACCATCGTGTGTAGGTCCACCCACAAAGTGAAAAATGTTTGCCATTGTCCACCTCGAAATAGGGAAGTGATTTAAAATAACACCTTAACATAAGCCATTTATAGCTCTTGTGATGATGGTAAGGAATCCAGCTGTTTCTTGCTCTCCTATAGACAGGCAATTACACAAATAGTGTTTACCCTGAAACCTGTTGATCGGGAAATGGAATGTGTACTTAAGAATGAAAAATGAAGCTATTTCCCTAAGGTACTGCCAAAACGATAAAAGGATCATTAAGCTCTCAAAATGTAAATAAGAAGGCGACCTTCCCTGGTGTGTCTAACTCAAATCTGCTTAAACTGCAGTTAAGAAAGTTTTTCAGAAAAGCACCTTCCATGTAACAAGAGGACTAAGAAATATCACCAAATTTTAAAATGGGCAATTATGAAATTCCGTTAAGATACTCTGTTCAACTCCATGAACAACCATCACTAAAACTCCGTGTGGAGGAGGAGTATAATCCTCCTCTTCATTGAAAAACTGCGTCCAACACTTCTCCTAGCAATGTGCCTGGATTTGTAGACATATAGCATTTTTAAGTTACATTAATACAGAACAAAGCTGTAGGTGTAGAAATCGCCAAGACCCGGACGAAAGCAGAAGATCAAATCACAGCCAAAAAGCTCTGCTCAGCTGTTTGGGGATGGTTAATGACACTGGTCCCTTGGAAGGATTTTAGACATGTCTCTTGTCTACTAGAGGCTCTTCTATGAGATTTCTCAAAAGCAGAAAGCCCCGTAAATGTGAGGCTACTGCTTTCATCTCACTGAGTCCAGGAAATTTCCAGCCTTTGATACTGTAGTACACTAGCAAGTTCAGGCAAAATCTGTTTCCAAAACTATTGGTTTTTTTTTTTTTTTTCCTCTCGGATTTATATCCCCGGGACCTCCCTTTTTCTCTCCTGCTATCTGCTTATATCTTCATTCCCAAACACTGATTAATAATTATAGCTACTGTCATTAAATGTTTGTTTTTGAGACAGATTCTCACGAAGTTGCCGAGGCTAGCCCTCAAACTTATAACCCTTCTGCCTGAACCTCCCAAGTAGCTGGAAATACAGCCATCTATTCTCCTTTAATCTCTGCCACAACCAGTTAAAGAATCCAAAGGTTAATTTACTTGCCCAGGTTTCTATAGGTAGGTGTTCAATTCCAGATCTTGTATTTTGTAATCGTGAGTTATTAAACACTATTCTGTGTTGATTCCTGGCTAACCTCAGTCTTTGAAAATGTAAAGTAAAATTTTGCTATTATCATATTGGCAACTGGCTGAAATTCATTCATATTCTCTGTCTCTCTGTCTCTGTCTCTGTCTGTCTCTCTCTCTCTTTCTCTCTCTCTCTCACACACACACACACACACACACACACGCACACACACGCACCACACACGCACATACACATTCTCATTGTCTTTTTGAGATACAGCTACACTATGCAGGTTCAGTTCAGCCTGGTCTTGACTCACTTTATAGTCCAGGCTGGTCTTCAAATGGTGGGATTATAAGCATGCACCACCATGACTAGCTACTGACTAAAATTCTTAGGAGTCATTTACCGCCTAGACCTCTCCAGCAGTATTTAATTAGGTAATTTTGTGCTATTTTTATATTTGAAGTATGGATGCTTCTCACTTTTGTAGAATTTGAGCGGCCATTAGGAATATGCCACTTTCTTGAGCATCTGTACACATCAGTGCTCTATCTTTTTCTGAGCATTGTATTTCCATCAGACTATCTGGAGATTTTTAATGGTTTTTGTTACCCGAAGGAGCTCAGAAATGTTGAGATTCAAGACTTCTCTCCATAGATTCTTGTTTAATTCTTATTTAACACTCCCATTTATCACTAAAATATTTAATTGAGGTGATTTATAACTCTTGAAATACCCAGTATACATCTCTTTTACTGTGTGACAACATTATTTATTGAGATATAAAATATAGATAACCTGGCCCTAGCCCTAAACCTAACCCTAACCCTCAACCCATGGTGGACTCATTTTGGTTCTCCTGTCAAGAAAAGTAGCCAACAGACAGGTCCACCACCCTAAAGCAGCTAAGACCACTGGAATGAGAAGTTCCTTTGTAGGAAGCTTTCCCTGAAGCCCTCTCTTTTCTTCTCTGTACCCCAGCCTCTGTTGTTTCTGCTTTGACTCTTCATATCTGTTCTTTGGCTTATTGCTAGAGAGCCCATGAGCAAGGTAGTCCTTTGTTACAAAGAATTTCCACATCTCTCTTTAACTTTGCTTTGCGTGACTCCCAAAACGTGTATTTCAAGGTAGAGGTCACAAAGAACAATGAGAGGCCTCTCACTGGGTTATTTTGGGTTTGTTCATGAGGCAGAGGCTGAATCTCAGTAGACCGATAGGCCAGGCAGAAAGATCTGCCTGGGATAGTGTGGGAATTGATGGCAACAAGTATTTTAAGCCATTCTAACATGTCAGTTTACACCAAGGAGACTGTGGAGGAGAAAGAGGAATATCTTAATTGAGTTTCCCACTTAGGCCCAGCACTCTAGAACTGCCTTTTGATTTGAGATCCAAAAGGAAAACTAGTGAACATCTCTGCCCGGCACGGTGAGCAGACTTACACAAAGATTGTGGAAATAATATAACTTCAGCTCCCTCTCTGCGTCTGAGTGTGTGTTCACACTGACTTGATGAAGCCCTCTTGCCCTGTACACACCTGTTACATCTGTTCATCTGTTAGGAAAGAGGCGTGTTTCAGAGAGAAAAATGGCCTGGCCACCAAGCTGACACTGATTCATCACGGAGTTTAAACTTAGAGCCACAAGTAGAATTTTTCCTTGTTTCCGTGTGATCAACAAAGATTTATAGTCTTCTCTTACAGAAGATGAGTATTTTGTCTTCTTTTTTTCATTTTAAAAAATTTTATTAGTACATGTTTGCAATACCTAATGATTACATTCATCATGGGGGAATTGACGCATGTACTAAATACACCTTAATTCTTTTACTTTCTTACAGCTTAATCTTTTATCCTTTCCAGCTTATAACCATGAATTATTTTTCATTTTTATAATTTTTTCCCAACTGGATATATATTAACTCTTCTCATTATGGACTGTTTCAACACAGCAATGCCACTAACCCCATTAGGATAGGGGAGGTTCATGTGTAATGCAATAAAGTGAAATTCATATGGTTTTGCAAAATTAAGCAAATTTTGCAAGGAATCTTCTTCCAAACTTTTGTTCACTTAATCGGTATATATTGGATATCAGCTAATCAACTGTATTCCATTATTCTACTTTATATTCAGTTAGGTAACAATTCCAGCCTGGGTTTAACCTAGAACTGTTATCTATCAGCCCACTTCCCTAGTGACCTTAAACCTTTATTGCATATGTGTGCCTGCAGATTTCTGTTTCCCCTTTTTTCTTGTTTTTGCAGTTTGTTTTGCTTCACTAACCATTTATGTTTTTGCTCTCAGTTGTGTTTAGCATGTCATAAAACTGGATGTCCACAAGTGCATGAAATGATCAAAATGTCCCTTCTGACCCTCCTCGCTGCCCTGTGTCTGCGTGCATTCCCTGGCCACCAGGGGCCTGTAGCTTTTCACAAGGTATTTCACGGGCCCTTTTGGGCCTCTGGACTAAATTTCAAGCATTCATTCTGCAATTCAGAAGCAAAGGGCGTGGGGAGGTGGAGTGGTTTTGAGGAGACCAAGAGAAGACACCATGAGCGCTTTTCTTAGAAACCTGGCCTGTCTTGGCCTTGCATTCTCCTAGCTTCTCTTAGCCAGTGTGAACATCTTACTGCCTTCCCTGAGACAGAGGAAGAAAAACAATCATATAGTGAAAAATTTTTGGTTTTGAATGCAGTGTTTGGTTTAAAGTGGAAATCCTGAGTCTAGGAATCTTAATAGTTTACCAATTTATTATTACTACAGCCAGTGTAGGAAACTCTTACGACATCAGGATACCTGATAAAAATTTTTCCGAGTACCTAAAGATAGCAGTGTTATCAAATACATGGTCATTCCTATATTTAGCGAGCCATCTTGTTGTCAGATCAGTATATATCCCCACTTTTGGCAGACTGAGTATCTTGAAGAATGCCTTTTTCTTAGCTCAGTAAACATGCTCACATTTTCTTTAATCAAATGCCCACTGCAGTAAGTCATGTCTGATATTATCTCTGTAGTATTGGCAACTTAAAATAGTGATGACGTTAAGACTAAAAAGAAAAATACATTCGGTATTTGCAAAGCTCGTATCTATTTATAGCATGATTATATACAATTTGACTCTTTGTATGTGCTTTCTTTCATGGGTCTGAAATGACCAATGTGATTTCTTAAGTATGCCTTGTGTGTGTAGCTCTGAATTCAAGACAGTTTCTATCAGGTGTGGAATTGAGCTCTCAGAATAGCTGGTCTTTCATCTTCAATGCTTTGAAGGCTTAAAAGTTTCCTTTTAAATTTATGTCAAAGCTTTGGCGTGTCTAAGCTTAGAAATCTTAGAGATCAGTGGTCACAAAGATTTCTGCGGAAAACGTAAGATATAAGGAAAATTGTTAAATTATGAGGTACAGCTCATACTAATGTACCTAATTAGACCATGGAGAATTTAGTTTCATCAGAATTAAGCACTGTACTGATTTAGAAGTATTTTTAAGGTTTTTAAGTCATTTTATGACTTGCCAAAGCAGAAGCTTGTTGAGATGTAAGACCTTTTACCTAAGTATACATAAAGTATTGTACATTCAAATCCATTCAAATCCATAATCATTTAAGAATGTGAATTTAAAATTCACATGTTCTAAATAGATTTTTGAAAAAAAATACTTTCTGTTTTCTTTTACCATGAAATGAATTAGTCTAGGCCAAATTTAATGTTAAGTTTCAAATGCACCTAGTAGATAAGTTAAACTTTAAAAAGAAATATTTACTCTTGGGGGCTGGGGGTAGCACAGTGATAGAGCACCTGCCTAGCAAACTCAGGGCTTCCATTCAATCCCCAGCACTACAAATAAAAAACAAAAAGGGAAAATTTGTTTTTACTTAATTTTCCAAAAAGATTATTATAGTGAGGTATCCAGAAAACCGGCATAACCTGAGTGATACAAACAAGAAAGATTGGCATCTCCTCCCCGCTGAGTCATCAGTCATCAAGTTAAATTTTCCACTAAGGTGTGAACCTGTTTTCATGATAGAGAACCTTGGAGCTATTGCTAGAAAAGTAGTTTAGGTACATTAAACCCCTCTTTCAGTTCTTGTGTGGAACCGTGTTTGTGAAACAGAGTCCAGTATGGAGAGAAGAACGGGGGCAGATTTATAGTACGCAGTAATTGTCACGATCATCCCTGTAACTTCAAAAAGAATTATAAACAGTGAAACTTGGAAAATCATGACACTTCACATCATTATCAATAAGTGATTTTTAAAAATTTTATTTAAGGAGAAAAATAAAAAAAAACAGAAAAGGGTACAAGTCATACAGAATTTCAAAAAAATAAACAGTAGGAAATCACTAGTTAAGAGATTACATAGTGTCATCTTAGACATAGTTGTTCAAGTTACAAAATTAAAGCATACTAAGTAGACATTCAGTGAGACTGCAAACAGTTCTGTTCAATGATCCAGCAAAAACTTAGTAATATGGTTATCTATTTTATATATTTAAATATACATGCAGTTATATCCATTAGAGCACTTTCTTTTCCTCTCTTTTTTACAATAACAATTACACATTTTGGGTTTCATTACTCCCACAGTTCTTATTACTTTTTTTTGAAGAGAATAAAACCAAATGTGACATAACAGAATAGAGTCAGTCAAATCAAAAGGGTGGACATAGTACATGATGTAAAAAAAAATACAAGGTGATCAGCAATGGTTACCATAATGCCTCTTGCTGCCTTAAAAAGAATTGCCTATATCATCAGTTATAATAAAATTGAACAAAACATACAGAACAAAACCAATAAAACTGAAACATTGGAGACATTACAGGACTTTAAAAGATGATAATAGTCAAACCAGAATGGGCATCATAAGTGATTTTTTTAAATATTGAGATTTTCTCCATCAGCCACCTGGGAATGTCGTGTGTTCAGCTAGAGATCTGGAGCACACAGCAGGCATTATGATCTCTCAGCAGGATACGGGACAGGAACCAGAAAGAAGCAGGGCATTGTCAGGCATGTATTTCCCGTGGGGTTCCTCACAGCAGTCCAAAGGCTGCCCTCAGGTTCTAAAATGATAGCAGGGGTACAAAAGGATGAAGCTCCTTCAGTGAGTCCAGACTTACCTAGGCTTTGGAGCCCTGTGTCCCCAGTAAGACCCAGTATTGATGAAACAATTCTGTGAGCAGAGCTTACAGAGGTCCCATGGAGAATGTGCTCAGTGCAAGTCACTGCACCTGGGGAAGCCCAAACTGGTGCTTCCAACCAGGTCCTCACAGTGTTGCTTAACAGCTAGCTCATTCCAGGTGCAGCTTAGTAACCAGGGAACATTTAGTGTTCTGCCTTTGTCAGTTGTCCAGAAGAACACAGCTAGAGTCAGTCCAAGGTCAAGCTCATATATAGTGCAGGAGGATTGTAGCCCATGAGCTAATAAACTCATCCTGTTTGAATATCACATGGTTTCTTTTATATGAGAAACCCAAAATATAAACAATTTAAAGAGAAAAATAAAAGGTAGACAATAGGAAATAGGAAGCTAGATCTTTTGTAAATGGTTAGGAGATCAAAAGACGGAGGGAGAAGAGGGGAAGGGGAAGTAAAAAAAATAAGACATGTTCTGTGTCTGTACCAGCTCGCTCTGATGAATGTAATCATGCACTGTGAACATGGCCTAAGAAAAAATTTTAAACATACAGCACTTCCCTCCAGATAAATAAATTCCATCCTGTCTGATTAATTTCCAGCCACTTGAGTTTGTTCCTGTGCTTTTCCCTGTGAAGAGTAAGACTATCAGAACAGTACTTCTTAGGGAAATACTACTGTTACTCTATTAAAAACAAGCTTCCAGGGATTTTAAATTGGTCCAGACTATCCTCATTAAAATAGCTGAAATCAGGCTGACTTTCTGTTGAAGGAGAATCGGCTGGCCTCTCTGTTTGAGGACAAAGAGCATTGGTAATGAACTGATGTCTCACACAGATGTGCTGCTGTCTTTATCTTCTTCCCCAGGTGTGCATTGAGACTTACACATGCAGCTGTCACCAGCGCAGTATAAACACCGCAGTGCGGGCTACTCTCAGTCAGATGCTCAGCGACTTGACCTTACAGTTACGGCAGAGGCAGGAGAACACGGTAAGCCGCTGGCACTCCATGCACATCTGAGGTCTCAGTGATGTCTTCCTGTGAGTCTGCTCCACCACCTGTCACAACCACCTCCCACAGAAAACGCTGGGAAGGGCTTGCTTATTTTGGAAGAACATTTATTTACATACATAAAGCTGTGTAGAAGTTCACTTCTTTCGCCTCCAAAGCTTTGAGAGTTAGTTTTTTTCTTGCAGTTTTTATAAATTTTGTCATTGCTTTAAAATTTTTGCTTTTGTTTTTTTTAAACTTCTTAATCAAACATTTGTATTAAAATATTGTGATGGTAAATATAAGTTAAGGAAACTGAATAGCTGTTTAAGACACACTTGGAGGAGATATATGTGTTTTGCTTTGGTGACTGAAAGATGGCACCAGGGCTCGCTCCTGAGCTGGGCCACTGGGGCGAAGCTGAGTTTGACTTGTCCTCTCCATTAGCAGAGCCTGCTAGAAGTTTTTGCTCTACATTTGAACAGATTGTCTGCAATGAGTTTCTAGGGAAAATGTAAATTTAATTGGCTTCTTGTGTATATTATCATCTAGGAATGTCAGTGAGACGATTCTTCTTCAAATGGGTGTTTTTTTCAATCTGTCTCTGTAATAACTTAGGTTAAATTTCTCATAAAATCTGAAATGACATTGGTCATTTTTTAAATTAGGAAATCTCAGCTGTAGTTTGAAATATCTCAGAGATTAATTTTACAGAAATTAAGATTTCATGTTTATTTTTGGTTGTTTTTCATTTCAGCTTGTTATTTGCTAATTTTTAGAAAATGATGAGGTTGAAAGGAACCTCACAGATCATCAGCTCAAACTCTTTTACTCCTTATCTTCCAGATAAGAAGATAAAAGTCCAGAGAGATGAAATTAAATCTAAAATGCATGCGCTTATTGGTGGAGGGCCCAGCACTGAAGCCCTGGGCTGCGGACCAGCTCCCAGGCTCTGGTCCCAGTTCCTGTGCTCTGTGGCAGCCAGCACTGAAAACGTTAATGTGGAAAAAAAAATTTTTTTCCTTTTATGTTTTCTGTATTCAAAGCCTATGTTTCTTCTATTAAAAATTATTTGGAGATAATGCAATCATATTAAATTGTCCCCTATTAATAATGATATCATTATATACCTAGAATTTGAATCTAATAGTATGAGAATGTTAGCTTTGGAAAAAAATCTGTAAATAGAAAGCATATTAGGAGAAAAAGTATTTTTAATGGACTTAAGCTAAAGTTTTGAGAATGTTTGTTATTACATAGTCGTATTCCATCTTTCCTAAAATGGCAACATGATCATGTTACTGTAATATTAATGGTATCTTAATGTCTTAAAATGAAACATTTAAATGAAATGTGCTTTAAAAAGTGCTTTCAGGGGGCTGGGGATTTAGCTCAGTGGCATAAGCGCCTGCCTTGCAAGCAGGCAGTCATCAGTTCGATCCCCGGGACCGATAAAAAAGAAAAACACACACAAAAAAAGTGCTTTCAATTATAGTAACCCATTTAGCCTTAGGTTTAAATGTTTAAGTAGGAGCAAAAAGTCCTACTTCACATAAGGTTGTTTTTTAGTCACCAGCAGACTGTGTGTACAACAGAATGTGCCAGGCACCTAGGGATGTAGTAAACAGCACCCTGAGGCGGGGGCAGGTTACACTGTTAATGCTCACACAATGACAAGAGTGCTTGAGATGAATTCTGCATGTTATAGTCCTGTCATCTACTGACAAGTGACTGTATGAGTTTCAAGTCAAATGCCTTAGCTTGTGGCTCTTCCTGCTCTGCCCCAGAATGGTAGGTAACAGGTTTAGTCGTGATGCTGTGCCTTTGTCCTGAGTTTTACATGGCTAATCAGCCTTCTGGTCCTATTCCTCACTGACCATCTGGACCATCCCACCCACAGGAAGATCCCAAAGTAGGTGGAAATTTCCTTTTCTTGTTATTCCCTTTCTCTTACTTATGCAATCCCTTGGAGATGTGATTCCATGTCATGGGAAAACTGTTCTCAGGATGCTAATGTTTGGAGCACATTTATCTAGTGGAAGGAGACATTAAATTTTGTCACCTAAGAGCAATTTTTTTCAAAAGCTGTTAGGAATGGTCTGTAGGAATGGCAACGTTTGCTCAAAGTGTCAGTGTATACCCTGGGCAATACTTAGCCTTAGCTGGGAACAGTGTGTATATTTTACAGCATGACCCATCACTGAGAAGACACCATGAGCCTCCTCAGAAGTAGGAAGACCTAAACACAGTAAAAGGAAAATAATTATAGAATGGAGAGGCATCAACACGAAGCCTAATGCCTGCATCTCCCCCAACCCCACCCGTAGAGTGGACTACAGTTTTGATTTTGTATCCTCAGAAACCCTGAGTTTTTAATTGTTTTATTAATTGGCTTACTTAAACAACCAAAACTATTACTAAATTGTAACTTTCTGCTTTCAAAAGGCAAAATTGCCACATACAAAATATTTTTATTTCCTGGGGAGGCAGAAGCACCTCCTTGCAGTCCTCAGCTCAGGAGTTTCCAAGTTTTCCTGGAATGGGAAGGAGATCTTATCATGTGTAAGCAGCTTTCGCCTCCTGTTTATCCTAGGTGCTGTTTCTGCCGTGACAGATCCAGATCTGCAGAGCAATAGCCCTGAGTGTGATAGAAATCAAGTTGACATGCCTGCCCCCTCCCAGAAAGGAAGATGGCGCTTCTGAGCAGTGGTCATTCTTGGACCAGTAGTTTAAAGCCCAGCAACTTGATGCTTCCTGTGCTAAGCATCTGTGTCTGTTAGAGCCACACACAGTATAGGCTGGGGACTTGGGATAAATCATTGGTCTGTGCAAAGAGAAACTCGCCTCTGTGGGTAGACATTGCCACAAGCCATAGCCTAGTGACCTGGACTCATAAAGCACCGTGGGGCTGAAGCCTCTGGGAAGTATGTGGATCCTTAAGTGTAGGATTCTGGGAAGCAGTAAGTCTTTCTCATAAACGCAGTCAACAGTGAAACGCTATCAAAAGCCAAACCATGTGCTTGAGTAGAGAAGCGGAGCCCAGAGCACTCTGAATTCCATTTTGTTTCCTAGAATTTTGCAATGTCTGAGAATCAATGTCTGAGAATAACTGTCTATGTGTGTCTCCTTCACTAGATAATTGAAAACCCAGATGCTCCACAAGAATTCGGGAGTCAAGGTATTGGATTTGGTTGTTACTAGTTCAGTTTTAAAAGAGGGAGTAAAAACACTGTGTGCCTGCATTGGGGTGTACAGACGCCTCGGTGCTCTGGGGTGGTTCACCCTTCTCCTTGTGGGCTCTGCTCCGCTGTGCCATGTGTGGTGCTGTTTCGTCAGCTGCTGTCTTCTGTTCCTGCGCTCACTGATGCCAACTGTGCCAGTCCCTGCTCCAGATATAGAGGGAAGTTAACTCTTAGCATACCTCCCAGGGAAGGCTGGTAGGTTGTTTTTTTTAAGTCACTTTCTCCATAAAGCCAGGTTTAATTGCTAAAATGCAAATTGGGTGGAGGGTTATAGAAATCTGACTGAAATATACTGCTATCACACCGGAGCTATTTTGTCAAATGCCAGATTTTTGACCGTGAGAAAAGGAGCCCTCCAGAGAGCCCTCTTTGAGACACAGATCAAAACCAAATTATGGCACTTTCACTCTGACCCACAGGAAAAGAAAAGAAGTGTGTGTATAATTAGCAAGCAATTTAAATATTAAAAACAGCTCTGAGAGCATAATTGTCTTCCTGATACGAAAAATTCAAGTCATTAGATTTAAAAATCAAAACACAGGTTGTATTTCAGGCTTTGTTCAGTAATTTGAAAAATATCAGGAACATCTGTTTTAGTTTGGATCTTTGCTGTAAATCACGAGGACAAGGAGGTAGGAGTGAGGAAAAGAGGGGAGAGAAAAAAAACGAAAGAATCAGCTAAGTAACCATAAGGAAGAGGAAAGGAGCAAATGTAAGAAATGAGGAAGAGAAATGCTCGCAGCAGGTCACTGTCCAGCACGCGTGCTGCATTGTTTTGTCCCCTCCTGCTGTGTTTTGTGCCCAAGAGCCCTGGAGCCCTCCCGCCCTGGCGCTCTCAGAGCCGTGGTAGATGTCCCCTCCACCCCAACCCTCTCTCCTCTTTGGCTATTGCATTTTCATTAAAGCCTCACTTTAATGTAGAATGATTTTATAGACTGAAAATTGAGTCAGCTTGCTTTTGGCCAAGGATGCATCTGTTAAAAAAAAAAAATTCTAGCAAAAATTGATGGAGGGCCTCATATAAAGTTAATCTAAAATTGAGCATAAGGGTTATTTATGGATCTGACTTTAAACTCTGTTTATCCTTGTATCTTATTCCTCAATTTTGTTTCTGCATTTAAGGTCTTAAATTCCAAAGATCAGAATTTATATTTCTTCCCTTACCTCCTCCAAATCTATTTTTATTTTCTCTCCTACACTCTTGCCATTTTTTCTTCCATCTTTATTGGCTTCATATTCCTTCATTTATATTTAGGTAGATTCACATAGATTCTTACAGGTTTTTATTTTAGAAAACAAATGCTCCCACTTACTCACTTGGCTCAACAGTTCTGTGAAATTGGCATTGTTTATCTTATTCACTCAAAGGAAAACCAAAGTTTACCCAGGCTCACACAATCAGCATGTCGTGAAGCTGCACAGGAACCAATTCCAAATTCCAGCCTTTCCCCACAGTGCTTCAGTGGGGGTTTAATTCTAGTTTCCAGGAAGTAGAACCCATTGGAGGGGAAAATTATTTTTCCAACATTGGCTTCTGTTGACAAAGACCATGTTTCCTGCAGAGGTTAGATAGACAAAGAAGGAGAATGTGGTCACTGGAGTACTTTACCCTGCCTTCTGTGTTTCCTCTTTTCTTCCCCCGTGCTGCCATGTTGATTCTTAAGTTCACCAAAGTTCTTTTCATTATATGTGAATGAATTTTACTTATAATGAGAAACTGTTATTTGTTCTGGGCCACTTTTTCCATGTTTTGCTTTAGAAAGGAATGGGTATATTTATTTCTTACCTTTCCTGGGATTGTTTTGGTGGCCTAAGGGAAATGCTAATGTGAAATTCACCTCAGTCCCGAAAGAGGTCCAGAGTGGAGGACAGGAAGGACTGTTGGGGAGCTCTTGCACGCCCCGCTCCAGTGTCTAATGCCTGTCCCCTCCTCTGATTCGAAGGGTTATCGGTAGAGGCCCTCTGTGACGACGTTGTCTCTGTCCTCGCTGTCCTGTGTGAGAAGCTCCAAGCCTCCATAAAGTAAGTGCCTTGCAATTGCTTATCCATGATAGTCTGCTTCTGGAATAACCTCTGCCTGTGACATCATTTAAAATTGCGGATTATAGGGACAGTGTTTCTTCCCACTGCTACCCACCTGTCGTTCAGAGACCTTGGGCAATGCTAAATTACAAATGCCACTGCTCAAGGATGTGAAATTTCCTGAGGTAGAAATGGAAAAGCAATGCCTTGGAAAACAGAGCTAAGCCTGTGAGCACTGGGCTGCTCAGGAGGAATGCTGGGCAGAGAGCTGGCTGACATAAGGGCTCCTAACACGGGCCTGGCCTGCAGCGTGACCGTAAGTGACTCTTCTCATGGGACTGTGATGCATGTCTTCCTCTGTTAAATGACAAGGGTGAATCATGTGTACTTTCTCTATTTCTTATAACATTCCCAAGTCTCTGAGCTCAGGTGCTTAACTTTAAAGAGAGCTTGTTACTCTGACTTTTGTGTACTTCCCTTTTTTTTTGCATGTCTGTTTGACTAGTGACATCTGTTCATTAGGTAATGTCTCTTGCTGTAACTCCGTGCGATAGGGTAACACAACTTCCACAACCAGAGTAAAGCCAAACCACAAAAACGCCAGACTTGCCAACATGGGATGAAGACTCTCTACCAGCTCCATATATCTGGATCAGTTTATCCATTGTTCCTCTAAGTCACTTGTATATTTGGACCAAATGAAACTCACTTTATATCAGGCACTTAAAGGTCAAATACGTCTAGGTAGAGAACAATATAGTGGCTACAGGGTGGTCGGGAAATGGGGGAAGCAGTGACTGTGTAGGATGACTAAGTCAAAAGATCTAATGCAGCGTAAGGGTTACAGTTAATAACAGCTTGCTGTGCTCAGGCTTTTGCTGCATGAGTTGGTTGTAGCTGATTTTGCTATCGGAGAGGGAAACGGGAGCCGTATGAGATATGGATATGCCCATTTGTCCCACAGCAGAACCATTTTATTTCATGTATGTATCACACAGCATCATGTTTTCTACCTTAAATATGCATACAAATTAGGAGGTCTGTTTAATACATAGGTAATATAAGCTAAAAAGAAATAGCAAATATGACTTCTCCCAAGTCTGGACCCTAGACAGGGTCTTTGCCCAAAGCAAGTCTGGGTGCTCCACTCTAAAGCAGATGGGGTATACGTGGCTGTGCTGTGACCTGCTCAGGTCCTCATATTGCCTGGCCAGCAAACGTTGGAGCAATGGAGGTGACACCCAGGTTGCATCCTAACTGAGGGTTCTAGCAACCCCATATGTAGGGTTCTCATTCCACGTGGCTTGCTGGGGTCAGTCCCAGACTGTGCAATAGTGTAATAATGGTAATTGCCCTCCCTCATTCTCAGAGTGCCCTGGTTTATATGGGATCCACACTCACTCTGCTCATCCCTGCCCCAGAGTTTGAAGTGCTAACTTCTGTCTGGACCTCCCCAGCTCTGTCACCACAGTGCTGCAAGTCCCATCAAAGCTGGAATGTTTTTACAGCACATTTTCTCCTAAGACTCAATCAAAAGTGTTTTTAATTCTATTCACTATTGTCCCAACCATATTATCTTTGTTGGATTACCTGAGTTAAACTTTTTGCACTGTTTACTAGCTCCTGCCTTTGGGCAAGGATTTTAACTCCTCTATGCTTATGTATTCCATAAAATAGTTAATATCATTATTATTGGTATATAATATTAGTAATGTAAAATATTTAGGGTCTTTATAAGATCAAATGAGAACATTCACTCAAAAATATAGTCAGTGCACAACAGCCAATGATCGCCAGATCTTACTAGCGTGTTACAGTGAAAGAGTCTAGTGAAAGGGTGTTAGGAGGGGTTGTTGCAGGATTTGAGTTTCAGGTAGGTGATTAGAGTAGGTGAAAGGACCTAAGAGTTGTATTAAGAGTTAGGTGATTTCAGAGATCAGGGCTACTCTAGCATGCAACACCTTCCTTTCTGTCTAGCACCAAGAGAACAGATAAGAACCTGAGGAATCATTGGAGAAAAGGTAGCTGTCACTCACTGGGAGGGAGGTTTGCTTCTTCCATCACAATATGCAAAGCTGCCCCCTGGGCTAGCACTCTGTAGTTTTATTATGTTTACCAGAGCCCGGCCACTGACTGGTAGCTATTAGGAGCTACCTGCTGTCACAGGTCTTTGCTGCCACCACCCCAAGCTTGGCCTTGTCAGGAGATAAAACCAATACCACCAGAACTTGTAGTTATGCTGATTAATAATCAAAACTAGCTATCAGAATAAGTCAGAATGAGTCTTCGGGTCTGTAAATGATAGGTTTAAGATGTTCCACTGTTCATTGATCAGAAGACTCTCCAGGTAGGTCCAGTGAGTGCCTGGTGGGAAGCCGTGGTTAAACATGGATGACTCCAGCCTCAGCTACAGGTGCCCTTGCCTGGAGTGTGATCACATTACCTGGCTTAACTGAGGCAGGCCAGGTACATAGAAGTATAGGCAGTCAGATTTGACATCTTCAAGAAGTACTGAAATACATGGAATCTTTTTAACTGCAGAATCCCCTCCACGTGGTAAATATTTGATATATTTTGGTTCTAAACTGCTTTGTTTACCTTCAGAATAGTTGGTGCCAGTTCCAGCTTATGATGCAAGAATATTCATCTGCTTAGGACAAAAATTTTTAGTTTGTCAGGCAAATGCATTGCACAAACGTGCGTTTTATGTGTGTACAACCAAAGTCATAGATTTCTATCAGCCACTAAAATCATTTTTTCACCCCATGACTTGAAAACAGGCTTTAAATGGGGAAAATAATTCCTGTGATACCGAGTTTTTCTAAGGGCTTCTGGATCGAAGATGGCCTTAGGCATATTGTTACGGAGCTTAGTGGAATTAGTAGGATTCCCGTAGTCTTGCTTGGTTTTTCAATGCAGTTACTCTGGTAATGATTCTGTCTCTGAAGACTGTTTCCTCTGTTGGTTTTGGTCTTTCCAGTCTCAATTCCATTATCCTAGGGAGGAGGGGTACTGCTCAGTAAGATGGGGTACAGAGAGATCGCGGCTGCTGGGATGAGAATCCTTCATAGCCACCGGGTGAGGCTGTGCCAGGCACTGTGGTGCTCTGTTCCTCCTGTTCAGTGTTCATTCTGCGTGCTCTCTCCTCATGATACTACCTTCAGTCCTTCACTGCTCCCAGCTGAACTTGATGCCCCAGCCCCCCTCCCCCCCACACACACCCTTCTAAATAGGTTCTTCCTATGAAATCTCAGAAAATGCACTCGGGTAGCGGTGCATCTCCCCCACCGCCTCAGAGGTGCCGCATCCAGAGTTGTGTCAGGAAAGTTGATGCACATGATATTGCCTAAATGCAGTATTTTTTGGAAGAATAATCAGGCCTAAAATGATCTCTGTCCATTCTCTGCCTGCCTGTCACCTGCACCCTCTCCCAGTCTCCCGTCCTCCTCATATACTGAGCGACCAGAGTCTCTACCATAGCAGCTTGGAATCACTGAGCCCATCCAGAGTGGTTGTATTATTTGTTCCATTTCATATTTTCCTTATTTCCTCTTTCTAATCAAATTCAAATATTAATTTTAAGGAAGGCAAAGTAAAAAATGGTTTTAACCAAAGCCCCTAAGACTCCAGAGGACCCAGGCATGCTGCCATTTGGCCTCCTGGGAACCTTGCCAAGAAAGGTGGCTTCACAGCCTTCATGGTCACTGGCCCACCCCTGGGATTATTCTCCACAGATTTTGTGCCCAGAACTTTAGTGATGAGCAGATATGGGACCAGCAGTGCCCAGCCTGCCAATCGTGAAATGCTCCAACAAAAGACCACAAAGAGTGACTCCCAGCCCTTGTGTGTTTGGAGCGAGTTGGCTGGGTCCTTGGCTCTTTCCTGCCCATGCAGCCCTAAGCTTGAGGTCTCCAGACACTCGAATCAGGAAGGCACACACACTACATGTGTGGATATGCATCTAGTGAGGGACATGAATGCACAGTGCTCCCATTTCTAACCGCTCCCTGGATGGCATGACTCATGCAAACTCATTTCCCAGGCTGCTGCAGTCGGTGGGAAAGCCACCTTGTTCGGTCTCCTAGGAGACTCCTGGCCAGTTACCTTGGTGATGAGCTCCTGTCAGGGAGGTGCTGTCTGGGCTTCGATGTTCGCCATAGTACACTTTGCCAGTGTTCACGGCAGCCTTGGCTGCTTGAATCTTTTCTCAAACCTTATTTCTGATGAACCCAGAAATCAAGAATCCTTATTTTCTTTATTTAGTTTAGTTTTGTGATGCCAACCTGACAGTTTGAGACAGAAAAGAGAAGTTTTTGCACTGGAGCTTTTAATAAGTACTCATTACAGGTCCAGTGATCGCTCAGAAAGATTAACTGAGACTGCAGCTGAGGTGATCCTCTGATTTTCAAAATGCGTCTTAACAACTGATGTTGTGGCCCCCTTGTTCTGCCCTCTCCAGTCTGTTCATGGCTAAAGCATCCAGAATGAATGGTCTGAAACACACATGTGGTCCTGTCAGGCTCAGGCAGAATAAAGTCCAGGCTTCTTAGTGCCAGCTACAGTGTCTGAATTCATCATGCCTCCACTCACGTCACAGCCCGCCTCTCACAGGGCTCCTCCACATCCCCTCTGTGACCTGGATGCCAGGTCTCTCTGGGGATCCTATTTCCTGTCGCAGATCTCTCAAAGGAGCCCTTCCCCTGGGGCTCATAGGAACTTACTTTAAATTAGTCAGGGCTGGGGATTTAGCTCAGCGGCATAAGCGCCTGCCTTGCAAGCAGGGAGTCGTGAGTTCGATCCCTGATACCAATAAAAACGAAATAAATAAATAAATAAATTAGTAAGTTACAGCGTTTCTCTCCAATGCCTGCTCTCCTTACCTCTCTTTGTCTGCCTAGTCCCACGAGCATGAAGAATGTGCTGTTTTAGAACAGGAAGTAGGTCTTGTTCAAAAGTTAAGCCCTTTCCTGGCCCCAAAGGACTAATCCTTCCATGTCTTGCTTACTCCTCATCCAGTCATCGACTTCCTCTTGGCAAATGGGTGCTTTTTGTGGAGAGACAGTCCTTGGCTCTCAGAAGGTGTGGTAGAGAATGATTAAATGTAAGTGGCATTCTCATCCAAGATGAAGACATTATTTCAATGATTATACAGCTTCAATATAGGGGAAATCAGTGTAACTCCCAACATGGCAGATATCAGACACTCTGAGTATGTGTTCCCCAAAATTTGAAGAATGAATTCTGAGGAACAGCAGAGGTTAAGAGAAGGAAAACTTTATTGAGTGAGCTCTGGAGATACAGGAGGGCCCAGGAAAGTGGTGGCCAACGAGCCCACTTCTCAAGGGAAGTTTTATAGAGAAAGTCACGAGGTGCGTACAATGTGGGTCAAAACTGTGATCAACCAGTAAGATGACAAGTATAGCCACTTAGGTCATATTGATCCAATTGAGAAACAGGTCTTGTAGCAAATGTACATGGAAAGAACAAAGACTACTTTAGGAGCAGATGGATCAGGAGGTCACCCAGGGGTGTGGATAATGTCTAGCTAGACTTTATTGGAACAGGTGATACCAGTTACCTCGTCCCCTAAGGAGGTAGGTAGGCCAGGCCATTCTCTCTTTGTCTTGAGGCCTGGCCTCCAGCACATGCACCTCCAGCCACCTCTGCACTATGTTTTCATCCACTGCACGAGCCTAGCACTCAAGGGCCTGGCCCTAGAATATTTCTACCTAACTTAGCTGTCTGTAATAGTTTTTGAACAAAGGAGATCTTTTTAGAGTCTAGCTCAGCAAAATTTTTCTGTAAAGAGCCACATACTGTCTCTTTTGTTGTTGCTTTTATTTGGTTTTACAGCCCTTTTAAAACTCAAAAACATTTCTGTTAGTGCGTGTTTGCAGTTCGTAGTGCTTACGTTCCCTTTGTGGGGTTGTACGTATACGCAGCACGTCCTGACCTGTTTTCCATCCCCTTCCCCTTCTCTCTCCCTCCATCTCTTGGTCCCCTTCCCATCTAAGCAAGTTGTATAGATAGCAGGCAGTAGGGGTCATCTACTTCCTATTATGTGTCTTTTATTTTGCTTTATATTTGTAATTTGGATTTCTTTCATGGCTGTGGACGAGATTTTGCCCCTGGACTGTAGTTTACCAAATGGTTTTAGAGCCTAATAACACTGTGCTCTCAGCTGACTGCGTCCAACACTGATGCAGAATTTAGTTTAGCGTAGCATTTGAATGAGGAGGCCATGCACCCCTCCCCGCCAGCCTCAGCTCGCCCGCTTTGTCTAACAATTGCAAGGCCTTCCTGAATGGGGCAGGTGTGGGGTCAGACTCTTCCTCCCTTAGGGATGCTCAGCTTCCCTTTTCTCTCTTTCTATCTCTCTTAAGTTTCTAACTTGCAGCTGATGAGAACACTGAGCTTCCTTCTGGCATTTGTTTGTTTTAAATTAGGAAAAAAAAGATACCAAAATTATTTTAATCTCAATTCCTATTTTTCCCTCAATATTTCACCCCATAAGAGACTCCTTTCTGAATTTTCTTAAAAGGCTGTTTGAAAGTTAATTTTTTTGGCATGTCTGTAATCCTAGTTACTCAGGAAGCTGAAGCAGAAGGATCACAAATTCAAGCTGAACTTGAGCAACTTAGTAATAATTTGTCTTGAAATTAAACTAAACTAAATTTTTAGAAGTGGGCTGGGGATGTAGCACAGTATGAAGACCCCGAGCTCAATCTCCAGTATCATCAAAGAAAGAGAAGACGAAAGGGAGAGAGGGGAAGGAAAGGAAAGGAAAAGAGGAGAGAAGTTTCTTAACCCCTGCCCATCTCTCTTACCACTAGAGGAATTTTAATATTTTTTGGTGAGCAGGAGGAAAAAACCTAACCTGGGTATATAAGACTGTATTTCTTGTAAGGTTACCCATTTTCTTTTCTGGATTTATTGAGAAACTCCAGAATAATAATTTGGGGGAAAGTAATATTTATTGATAAACCAAGTCACCTCAATAAAAGAAAAAAGCCAAATGTAAATTAGTAAAATATAGATGGATTAAAAGATATGTCACATGGCTTCTTGAAAGATTTGGACAGTTAAACATGCTAACAATTACTAATTCTGCCATGAATTATAGATTTTTGTTAAAATAGCAATATTTCTTCATTAATTATAGCAAACATAATAACAGGTAAAGTATGATAACTCAGTTGCATGTTCAGTTTTTCTATGGATAGAAAACTTACCTACAATGTAACATTTGTTAATTGTGAAAAAGAATAACCTATTACCTTGCCAGGGCTACCAAAAGTACCTTGTAGTAGCTGCTTTCTTTGTTGCTGGGACAAAATACCTGACCCGGTGGCTTAGAGGAGGAGAGGTTGATTTTAGGTCGTCTTTGTGGTTTCAGTCTTCTTCACATGGCTGCTGAAGCTGGTTCCACCAGGCAGAAGCTGCGTGGTGGGAGGGTATGGCGCAGGGAAGCTGCTCGCCTCATGGCAGCCAGGAAGCAGAAAGAGACTGGGAGGAAGTGGGGCAGGAGATGGAGTCCTTCCAGGTCACACCTGCAGCAGCTCCCTTTCCAGCCAAACCCCCCACCCTACAGCAAGCCCGCTCTAGGCCCTCGTAGTCCATTCAGCCTCCGAACACATGAGGCTCAACAGGGTGAGGCAGCGTTTTAGAGCTAAACCATAACATACCTAGAACCAGGTTCCTGGTGAGAAATTCATGTTCTCACAGTTCTGGAAGCTGGGAGTCTAAGATCAAGGTGCTAGCAGGGTGGCCTCTGAGGGCTGTGGGAGAGGGATCTGTTCTAGCCTGGTCTCCTTGGCTTGTGGTGGGGCATCCTCTCCCTGTGTCTCTGTATTCTCTTCACCTGGAGTATTTCTACATCCAACTTGTCCCTCATTGAAGACACCAGTCTTCTTGGATTAGGGCCCAAGCTAACAAATCCACTTTACTGGCTTATGTGGAGGCCTTTCTCTGAGATGCTGGGGATTAGAACTTTAGTCTGTAGATTTGGGAATTGGGAAGCAGTTTGGCTCCTAACACTAGCCATGCCCTCACCTTGGTATTGCCTGGTAGTCGGGCAGTGTCTGCGCAGACCTCCTCTTTAACTTTGCCTTCTGTTTTTTGTCTCTGTCTCTGTGTTGATTCTGTTCCTCCACAGCGACAGCCAGCAGCTGCAGCTGCTGTACCTGGAGTGCATTCTGTCCGTGCTCAGCAGCTCCTCCTCCTCTATGCACCTGCACAAGGGCTTCACCGACCTCATCTGGTGAGCACCCCCCCACGGGAAGCCCCCACGCCAGCCCCAGGGGCTCCATATAGCTGTGTCTCTGGCCCCCTCCACAGAACCCATGACCTGGTGGCAACTTCATCCATGCACAAGTGTCTTCAAATGAAGGGAGACGGTATTGCTTTGTTTACGTCAGACCAGAATCCAGACAGAAACTGATGATATTATAACAAATGTGCCTCCAAAACCCTCTTAAGATCCCAAGTCAAGAAGCGCTAAATGTTCTGGGCTCTCAGTTTGTTCTAAAAGCATAAAATGCACTGCAGGGCGCTTAGCCCTACCTGGTATCTTTTCCTCCTTCACCCGTGGAGATATCACAAGTCACTCTCATAGCCTGGTTCCAGGAAGTAACAGGCCCTGAAGGCTGCTACCTAAGCGGCTCTGGGTTCACCATGCCTATTGACAGGGTTGAAACCAAGTAACAGGCATCAGCATGGCATTGGACATTAACTTCTCACATGAGAAGCCATCTTATTTGTATAAAAATGAAACTTTATGTGTGTTAGCATTACTGCCTCTGATGTTATATTTAACTAGCTAGAGAAATGAGGACAAGTATTCTGCTGATGGCTCGAAGGGGTAGGGGGCTTAGAAAACCGGGACACAACCTGGCCTGGGAAGGCACCGTGAGGTACCAGCCTTTGGCCCTCCGGGTGGCACTCACTTTTCACCATGTGGGGTTCTGTTGAAAATTATTTTTCTGCCAACTCTTTCCAGGAAGAACTTGTGTCCCGCTCTCATTGTCATCCTGGGGAACCCTGTTCATGACAAAACCATCACCTCTGCTCACAGCAGCAGCACCAGCACCAGCGTGGAATCAGACTCGGCCTCCCCAGGCGTCTCGGACCAGGGCCGGGGCTCGGGCTGCTCCTGCACGGCACCGGCCCTCAGTGGGCCCGTGGCTCGCACCATCTACTACCTTGCAGCTGAGCTTGTCCGCCTGGTGGGCTCAGTGGACTCCATGAAGCCCGTGCTGCAGTCCCTCTACCACCGCGTGCTGCTCTACCCGCCCCCCCAGCACCGTGTGGAAGCCATCAAGATCATGAAGGAGGTAGGGAGGCACGGGTTTGCTGGAATGGCATTGCTACCACCTGGAGCCCAGGAGCACAACAGTGGCTCTAGAGTGCACCTGTTTGGGAACCTGGGGAAAGAAAGTCATTGAATAATTAGCCCAAGTTTGTTAAAACTCCATCAGCTGTGCGGCTGACCACCCTGCAGAGTCCATCCTGCTAGCTTAGGAGCGGTTAGTGCAGATACATAGTTTATTCAGAATTGGACTTCAAAAGGTTTTTATATTCGGTTTGTTACATTACCCACAAACAGCTTTATTAACCTCTTCGTGCTCAAAGAAACCTCTTTGTCCCAACTGTCATGCTTCTGGAGGCTCTTAAGGTTGTCCAGTTGTCAGTAGGCATCACTGGGTGCTCCTTTATAGTTTTGAACAAGAACTAGGGTTATTTTAAAGGTTCTTCAAAAGAGTTCTCTGCTTTTTTTTCTCCAAAGAGCTCAAAATAGAAGTGGTTGATATTTTTATTTCTGTGAACCCATTCATAAATCAAACTGCATTTTCTTAGGGCACCTACCCATCCCCCTCAAAAATCTAGTAATAAAATTCCTTTACTAACGATCCATTTATTTTAAGCAATATTTGCCCCCCAAATCTAAATAGTTAAATTTTAAAATAAATATATATATTTAATATGTGATAAAATATTTATCCTTAAAATAACCCATACACTCCAAAGGCTGCCCTGGCCTCAGAATCCGTGAGGACTCTGCAGACTGGCTGAGCTGGCCAGGAGATACCTCGCCCCTCAACCTTGCACTGCAGCTGTGCCTTCTCAGGCACCCAGCAGGGCACCATGTCTGCTGCGGGTTCACCTGTGGGGGCAGCAGGCCTGCAAGCTGTAGCAGTGGCACATGTGTGCGCTTCACTGTTTTGCTTTCAGAATGACAGTGGTCGCTGTGTCATCTTGCTTCTGCAGTCATGACCAAGGAGCAAAACATTAAATTGTAATCACTTCTTGGTGTTGTTTTAGTGGGATTTGACTGTAATGAATAGTAAAAATATCTGTTGCGGCATTCCTAGAAATGAAGGAATAGCCCGTATTCAGTTGCTAGTTAGGGAAATCTATGAGCACACGATGATAATTGCCATGTGTTTCTTTTCTACAGCAAATTCATGCATATTATTAAGAACATTCATAATAACTCCAGAAGCTTGTATGTCAATTTGTTGTCACCAATAGAGAGTGTTGCTGCTTGTCCTCTCCAGCGTTTCCGGCCAGCTATACGAACCAGTTACCTCTAGGATAGTGAGGTGGCATAGCTTTGAGGCCAAGTGGGACCAGGGTCTGATGACTCCTAGGCAGCAGGGACCTCTACCCGGGAACTGCCCCCAACCTGTTAAACCTGCAGTTTGGAGGAGTGGGCAGGCTTCCTCTGAGTGCAGCCGTGCACGCCCAGCCCCTCCTAAATGCACGTGTCAGGTCAACCTGGAAAAAGTAAGAGAACGGGAGACAAACGCTCAAAATCTTCTTCTGCTGAATATTCTGATAAAAATGTGAAACCAGAGAGGAGGAATTTTTCTCTCCCACAAAGAAACAAAGGCTTTGTATGAGGCCACATGATGTACCTTAAGGACACAAAGAAAGAAAAAATACAAACCCTGATCTCTCTGACCCTGAACCCAGGGTTTTCTCCTGTCTTCACTAACTTTATTTTCATTCTTTGATCTCTAGTTGGCAATGTGACCGATTCTAGCAGAGACTGTTCCCACTGGTTTAGCCACTTACTTCTTGAGCCTGAATGTAAGAGTCCTGCCTGCCCCTCACCAGCTAGGTGACTGGGGAGATCCCTTGACCTGAATGGATAGTTTCTCCTGTGTGTGTCACTGAAACAGTCTACGGTTTCCAAATCTAACATGCAAGGAGGTTGGCCAAGTACTTTGTAAGTACAACACACCACACAGATGTGTGGGGCACTTAGTGCTACCGTAAAAAAGAGAACAAACATGGTCCCATGCCAGCTGGCACGCTCTCTCCTGCCTGCCTTGTTTCCTTTTGTCTTACTGGGCTGATGTTCATGAATGCCCGCTGTTAGTGGTTTTCGCAATGCCCGAGGCTCTCGGATGACCTCCTGCCTCTCCCCTCAGTCTGAATTTTCATGCTGCCATCCTTCTCATTTCCCTTCACGTCTCACCATGCACCTATCTTCTGTCTGATCGACCCCACGTTACCTAGTTCCACCCTCCTGGCCCCCTATTCAGTCTCCTGCCTCTACTCTCATGGGCCACTTTCCTATCACAGAGCTGACAGTTGATGCCAAAAGGCTACACTGCAACAGTTAGCTTCCTTAAGATGATACTATTGTGCCCATTTTCCCAATGGGGAAGCTGAGGCTTTCTGAGGCAGTGTGACTTGTCTGGAGTCCTGTATCTTGAAGGCAGGAAGGCTCAGCTGTGAACCCAGCTGCTCTAAGTACACTGTCTCTTTCCTGCTCTTTGATGGCTTTGCTCCCCAGACCACTGACTGTGCTCTTCTTTAAACCCCATCCTACCATTTAGCAACTGGCCAACTTGGCCACATGTTATTTGAAGGCCAAGGAAATATGGTCAGCTTTCCAGTTCCATGGGCTCCATGGCTGAAGATTCAAACAACCAAGACTTAAAAATAACTGGGGAAAAAGATTGTGTCTGTACTGAAAATTGCAGCTTGCCTTCATTCTCCAGTTTGAATAGAGAATGTCAACCGTGTGCACAGCGTTTACATTGTGTTAGGCATTGTAAGTGAGAGGTGATTTACAGCGCATTCAAAGTGTGGTGTGGGCTACCTGCAAGCACTGCCCATTTTCTAGAAGGGACTCTGGCAACCTCAGATTTTACTATTCAGAGTGGACCAGTTTCTGGGACCCTGAGGGAAGACTGTACTTTGCATTTTGGAGGATGTACTGCCAAATGTATTTTCAATAATGTCTTTGCTGTAAAGGAAATTAGTTATGCTTTCCCACATTTCACACCTGTTCTGGCTTCCCAAGGTCATTCTGCAGATGTCAGGCAGAATTAAACACCTGGACCTGAGCACTATGTCCAGCTACTGCTGCCTCATGGAGCCCAGCAGACAGATTTGGGCCAGGTTGTTCCAAAAGACACTGTTCCTACTTTATACAACAAACCCCACGATTTGAGGTTGGCAACCGACATCAAATGTGTGGGTTTATACGCACAAAGAAATCCATTTGGTTTCCAGGATGTTTGTATAGCCTTTTGAAGTTGGAACACTTGGTTTATTATTCCCTGTTCTCAATCTAGAGTGTCACTGCCATATACACGTGTGCTTATTATAAACGCACAGGATATTGTGCTTTTCAAAGTACCTTCTCTTTTCTAAATCCACTTTCCCTCAAAAAAAATCTGATCATTGTGTAATTGTCCACCTTGCTTCTTTTGTCCTTCTCATAGTGGCGCATTAGTAGGGGTTTGTAGTCTTCTTGAGACCAAGGCACCTACCCTCTGTCCTCACTACCCCGCTCACTTGAAGAAGCCAGGATTTAAAAGTTCTGCCATTTGTTTTTGTATTTGTTGAGCATTCTTCAGAAGCCTGCTCACTCTGTCCCCTGTCCGGAAACCATTGACAGGTCGGCACAAGATTCATGTGGGAATTAAAATTAACATCCAATTTATTACTAGTAAAGTCTGATTGGAGAATGTGGTCAGGTCCCAAGGGAAGCTGAGGTTTACACCCCTGTTCCCGGGGCAGGGTGCAGCTCAGCAGTGCACACGTGCCTATTCTGAAGGGAGACCCTGGGCTCCATCCCAGCACCAAACCACAGCAAAGCTCCTGCCCCACGGAACTACACTTACCCTTTCAGGAAGAGGCAAGTCCATCTGGAGCCTTGGACACAGGTCTGCAGAGAGAAAGAGCAAGAAAGAGAGCGAGCAGAAGAAGAAAAGAGGGACAGGGAGGAAGAGGGAAAGAGACAGACAGGTCTGACGACATTAGCCCAGCTTGATCATCTTTCTCTGATGTCAAAGAAGTAAATGCAAAGAAAAAAGCAGAAGCTGCATTTCTGTGCCCGCTAGATATCAGGTGTTTCCAATTGCTGCAGTGAGAAAGGAATAGAAAAAAGATCACCTTAAAGTACAGTTACTTCTACTGAATATATTTAACTTACCTTTCCTGACTTCGTGCAGAAAATGGACACAAGCATGGGATATCTGTTCCACAAACACTGAATTAACCATTCTTTCCTTCAGTCCCAGTGCCTCAAAGTGGTATTTTATGTAGAGATTTACACCATATGAAATAAAAATATATGACACTAAATACTAGGAAAATCTTATTCCTGAGAACTTGCAGGACAGTTGCTCATGCAGTGCACAGGTGGATACTTACACCTGTAAGCCGAAACTGAAATCCTAGTGCTACGATTTAGATAGGTGGACAAAGGAGGAGAACTAATTTGAAGACAAACCAGAGAAACAAAATGAAGATAAAAGTGGAACAGAATGCACTGGCAAGGGGCACACTCGGGCCGGCCGTCACGGTTATTGTGGTTGTATGGTCCAAAGGGAAGGTCCAGACACAAGGACGTTACGGTCACATCTCACAAAAGCCCGAAATGCATGTTTCCTAGCTCTGTGCAACAGTAACTTCAGGAGCCAATTCTTCAGAATTTCTCCAAGTCACCCCTTGACTGGGCTCCTGGGATCTCTCTGTGCCCCATATATCAAAACGAATGCCTAACTTCATTTTATTAAGGTTTTCCTATTCCAATGAGTTGTATTAGAATTTGTAGTTTGCATCCCTAAACTCCAAAAGGCAAAAACTTTTTGAGTGCTGACACGAAGCCACAAGTAGAAAACTCCACACTATGAAACTTTTGTTTAATCTACAAAATTACAAAATATATAGAAAATTACTTCCAATCCATGTATAGAAGTTTTACATGAGACATAAATGAATTCAGTGTTTAGGTTTGGGTCTCAGCCCCAAGATATTGCATCATTTACATACAGGTATTCCTGAGCCTGAAAATAATTGGAAACCCAAAACCCTCCGGACCCAAATATTTGAGATAAAAGATAGAAAACTTGTAGTTGGGTTTCTCCTTACACTATATCGCCCAGTAAAGAAAGAATATGTTCACTGGATCTCACAATATAAAGCTTTATGTTTTTTGTGATACGCTTCTGTTATTTTTTGTTTTACCTAAAGATACTTGGGAGCCCACAGCGTCTCTGTGACCTAGCAGGACCCAGCTCCATGGAGTCAGAACCCAGGAAAAGATCAATTTCAAAAAGGAAGTCTCACCTGGATCTCCTCAAACTGTATGATACATTTTTTTTTAGGTCGATAGTACTTGGTAAAAACTGCTTCTTTTCACATTGTTTTCCAGTTCCTTAAAGTGTTTATGAATCTACATTAAATGAATCATGCATATTTTATTTATAAGCTATATGAGGAGACTAATCTTAATTTATTATATAGCTTTCCATATTTTTTTTTTTTTTTGTCTTTTTTCCTTTCTATCGGTACCGGGGATCGAACTCACAACTGCCTGCTTGCAAGGCAGGCGCTTATGCCACTGAGCTAAATCCCCAGCCCCGACTTTCCATATTTTTGTATGTGACTGAAAAACCTAGTATACACAGTGATATGTCCAGAAATTATTCTCTTGAATTATTCCAGGGAAGAGCTTTGTGATTTACACTATAGCTGTAGGATTCCTTTGCATGCAGTCTCCTCAGAACAGTAAACATTAGATTATTTTTAACAGTTGTATTATTCAGGCGTGCCAGGCGTGGTGGTGCAGGCCCGTGAGCCCTGCACTTAGGAGGCTGAGGCAGGAGGATTGTCACAAGTTTAAGGCCAGGCGAGGCTTATATAGTGAGTGCAAGGCCAGTCTGAACTGCATAGTGAGACCCTATGTCAAAAAAGAAATGATAAACAGACAGACAGACAGATGGGAAGTTACATTTCATCTTATAGTCATGTAACTGTGTTATAGTTGAAAAACTAAGCATAACCACAAACATGAGCTTGCCCGGTGCCCATTTTAGGGAAAATTGCAAACTGTCTTCTGGAATTTTCATTTGTACCTAATAATCCAGCTAACCAGGAAGGCCTGTGCTTCACGCTGGGCCACTTTACTTGGAGGTTTTCCCAGCCCATGTATGTTGGTTTCATTTATTTATTGCCCAGTCTGTGTGATTTTATGCAAGCGAGACTGGCCCTTCTGAACACCATACACTTGGCAGGCCCGGCAGCCCACGCTCGGGAGCCTTTCTCTCTCCCTCTCCCACGCGTGCTGTCTTCTCTCCCCTGCTCTCCAGCATCATGGACGGCATGACAGAGGCGTGCATCAAGGGTGGCATCGAGGCCTGCTACGCCGCCGTGTCCTGCATGTGTACCTTGTTGGGGGCTCTGGACGAGCTCAGCCAGGGCAAGGGCCTGAGTGACAGACAGGTCCAGCTGCTGCTCCTGCGCCTGGAAGAGCTGAGGGACAGGGACGGGGCCGAGTCCAGCAGAGACTCCATGGAGATCAATGAGGCTGACTTCCGCTGGCAGAGGCGCGTGCTGTCCTCGGAGCACACGGCCTGGGAGGCCGGCAACGAGAGGAGCCCCGACATCAGCATCAGCGTCACCACGGACACCGGTCAGACCACGCTGGAGGGGGAGTTGGGTCAGACAACACCTGAGGACCACACAGAGAACCACAGGAACGTGCTCAAGTCACCAGCCATCCAGGAGGGCAAAGAGACACTGGGCAAAGTGTTGGAACCCGAGGCTGTGGACCAGCCCGACGTGGTCCAGAGGAGCCACACGGTCGCTTACCCTGACATCACCAACTTCCTGTCGGTGGACTGCAGGATGCGGTCCTACGGCTCTCGGTACAGTGAGAGCAACTTCAGCGTGGATGACCAGGACCTGTCGAGGACAGAGTTTGATTCCTGTGATCAGTACTCAATGGCGGCAGAAAAGGACTCGGGCAGGTCGGACGTGTCGGACATCGGATCGGACAACTGTTCCCTGGCTGACGAGGAGCAGACCCCTCGGGACTGCCTGGGCCACCGGTCCTTGCGAACGGCTGCTCTGTCTCTCAAGCTGCTGAGGAATCAGGAGGCCGACCAGCACAGCACCCGGCTGTTTGTGCAGGCCTTGGAGAGCCTCCTGCCTCAGCTGCTGGCGCTCTCCAGCGTGGAGGAGGTGGACTCAGCTCTCCAGAACTTTGCCTCTACTTTCTGCTCAGGTGGGTAGACCGGCTGGCTGTGTGGGGAGTGAGTGTGCAGAGCACTTAGCCAGGTGGGCAGCTGTCATCCTGCTTGTGGCACAGAGCACTTACATCAGTGACTCTCGGGTGTCCTCTGTTTAAACAGGGCAGAGGCAGGCAAAGCAGATTGGTAGGGCTCTACTCATGGACACAGGAGCTCATTTGGCCGGGCTGCTTTGACCAATTTGGCATCCCTTGTGCCAGTGTGAAAACCTTGCAAACACCCTGGTGCCTCAGAAACTGCACAACATGGCAAAGCACAGCTCCTAGTTTGGGTAACGGTGTGCTTGATTTATGGAGAAATAGTAAAATATAGGCAGCATCTTCTGTTTGAAATTTAAAATACCCGTATAAAAAGACATTCCTGTAGATGTCTCAGCCTTTAATACCTCAGTCTGTCTCCCAAATAACTCCCTGTGTGTGAACACCATTGCCGGTGACCCCAGATGAAGGGGTTTTCACCATGGCAGAGTGACCTCTGCAGGCCCCTCCTTGTCCCTTATGAAATTAAGTAATATAACTCTAGTGAGGGCTTTTATAAAATTTCAGGAAAAAGCCACTCTCAAATTTGTGTTTTTGTATCTTTGCTATTAGTGCATGCAAAATAGGATGTGTGTGACTTTTTTTTAAAAAAAAAGTGACTAGATTTTTGCACAATGAATTGCAAACTGCCCACATTTTAGAGGTCTATAAAATGTCCCATCAGATTTGATATGTTGTGTGGAATTATTTCTTACATGTAGACATAATACATTCAAAAGAGACCTCATAAATGTTTACTTGTTTCAGAAAGCTATTTTTAGTGCCTGTAATTAAGTTAATGCTTTGTCTTTTTAAACCTAGTGACATCCACAATGCTTTTGCCATTTAAGAGTTGATCTCCATTTGCAAATTACAGACCCATGGGTCACGGCCCTGGGACCCATGTGCCAGCTCGCCTCAGTGACCTTGTGGTATAGCTGGTGGCATGGCCATCGTTGTGGGGAAGCTAAAGCCACTGGCTGCTGGCCCACGTCCACGTCCTGACCACACTGTGCACTCTTCTGTCCTTGCAAGTATCACCTGTGACTAGAACTAAGAAAGAAAGGCTGGCCTTCTACTGAGACAAGAGCTCGGAACAGCAAATGTCCTTTGTTTCCCCAAGAAAGCGTTAGAAAAGCAAAAACAGAGAAGAAAGGCACTCCGAGTCATGGACCAGATCTCTGATTCTTTGTTTGTTTTGATCTTGATGCTTCAAACCTTTTTTTCCCTAAAACTTGCGCTGAGCATTCCTCTCTGTCCTCTACTGGGGGCTGCGTTCTCTTCCTGACCGCTCTCGGTCACTCTCACCAGTCCCATCCTCACAGCAAACACACCACTGACCTCTCTAACGCCAAGTTTCTCAGGAGAGTGTAGTAGTTACACGCTTAGCCCTCAATACTGCTCTCTGTTTTACCTTGGGAAGGGAAGGATTTTAGGCCATCTGTGTCTGCAGAGAACTGGGACTAACACCCACATGAGCTCCAGAATGCCAGGGTTCCCTTGGACCACCTGGGCCGTGATACACTGCTCATGTCTGGCCAGGGATGTGGTTTTCAGAGCCCATTGCCAGGTGGGCTCCTCCGATGACCACAGAGCGAGCTCTCAGGAGGCAGCCGTGGAGATCCAACCATGCTCTGTGAAGCCAGGTGGAGCTGTGGGGGTGGGGAGTTGGTAATCCTCTCAAATGCAGAAAGTGTTTTGAGTGAAAAGCTTCCTCTGGGGCTGGGGATATAGCTCAGTGGGGCAGTGCCTGCCTGGAAAGTGTGAGGTCATGAGTTTGATCCCCGATACCAAAAAACAAAAGAAAATGAATGAATAAATACAAGTGTTCTCTGGCCCACATTTTCTTGAGCATCCCAGTTGCTAATGTGGGCTTCTCACTTACTCAGCTGTTAACTCCAGCAAATGTTCACATTTCACGTTGGATGTGAAATGTGGTTGGTTGAAATGGACTTTTGCACAGAGCCTGAAGAAACTGTGGGTGCGTGTGATCTGCACGCAGGTGTTCAGGCTGGGCTCCATCGCCCACATCACTACACTGAACCTCAGAGCTTTCGCAAGGAGAAAGGAGCTCTGGGCCAATGTCATACCCGCTCCAGAGCAGCCGCCGGGTCCTGTGTGTCACCCATGCTCTCTGGAAGTGACAGAGGCACCCAGCCGCCGTCATTTCCTTACTTGGTTTTTTAGTTAAGTTGTATAAAGCCAAAGGGCTATTCAAAATGAGAGCTCTATTTAGTATAAAACAGTATTCAATATATTTTTTTAAAAGTGGGAAATCAATAGCTATTATATTTTTTGAACCTCTTCATTTTCTTGGTTTTTAAAATAGCTTTATTGCAGGAAAGTTCACATACATTCTCTCATTAAAGTGCCTGATGAAATGACTGTTGATATATTACATAATTATTTGCTTTAATGTGGTAAAATATACATAAAGTTGATAGTAATCATGTTCAAGTATATAACTTAGTGATATTAATTATGCTCACAGCATCACCATTATTTTCAGGTTTTCTTCATCCTGAGCTGCGCTTGGCCCCATCTCTGGTAGCCTCTAACCTACTCTGTCTCTGAATTTGTTCATCATATAATTGGACAACGAATATTTGTTGTTTTATACCTGGCTCATGGTGCTTAGCATATGTTTTCAGTGGCTTTTCTATCAGGCATCAGAACGCCCATTCTTTTTTATGGCCAAATAATATTCCATTTCAGATATATACCACATTTGGTTATCCGTTCATCCAAACTTGAGGGTCATTCCTCTGTTAAACTATTTTGACTAAAAATGCAGTGGTCTTTAACATACAAATATCTCCTCAAATCTCTGCTTTCAGTTCTTTTTGGAATATAACTAGGAATTAAATGGCTGAATCAAATGGTAATTATGTTTTGCTTTTGTAGAAACATCTTTTTTTTTTAAACTTTGTATTTAAGAGTAACTGTATTGGGCTGGGGTTATAGCTCAGCAGCACAGCACCTGCCTGGCAAGTGCAAGGTCGTAAATTTGGTTCCCAGTAAAAAAACAAAAAACTGTATTAAGAGTAATTTCACATGAAACTGGGTATGGTGACACACACCTGTAATCCCAGTACTTGGTTTTTTTGTTTTTTTTTATCAGTACCAGGGATCGAACTCACGACCGCCTGTTTGCAAGGCAGTTGCTTATGCCGCTGAGCTAAATCCCCAACTCAGTCCCAATACTTGGGAGGCTGAGGCAGGAGGATAGCCATGGTGCAGGAACTGCTTGACCTACATAGTGAGACCCGATGAGAGGCTGTCCCAATCTCCTGTGATGAGTGATGGTGAGAGATTAAATAAATGAGACTAGCAACGTGAAAGTCTGGAGTCCAGGAAGGTTAGAACTGTCGTGGCTCGCAGGAGGGGGGTCGCACAGGGCCACCTCGGCGGGGTCGTGCCAGGCACACCGTTCGCAGCTGGGTCTCTGGTTTCCTCCCCCACAGGCATGATGCACTTGCCAGGCTTTGACGGCGGTGGCAGCCTGAGCTTCCAGATGCTGACGAACGCGGACAGCCTGTACGCGGCTGCGCACTGCGCCCTGCTGCTCAACCTGAAGCTGTCGCACGGCGACTACTACCGGAAGCGGCCGGCCCTGGCACCGGGCATGCTGGTGAGTGTGTGGCTGCCTGCCGGCTGCCCCAGGTGCCTGCGCGGCCTGGAGGGTGGAAGGGGACGGTGCTGCAGAGCGCGCCCACTCCTCAAGGCGGCGCTCCTGCCAGGGCAGAGTCCTCAGTGCCCGCTGCCACGCTGTCCTTCCATCCGGGGGGCATCGTTCAACACGTGTTCTAAAGCACGTTCAAAACCTCATTTCTGCACTACATGGGATCAGAGGTGCTGGCCTTTGCTGAAAAGGATGCACTGTTACAGAAGTCTTCATTGCATTCCCAAGTGTACCCAGACCTATTCGTGGGCCAGAACTAGGCTCACTGATTGTCAGTAACAGGAGCTCCTAGGAAAAGTGTGGAGCGTGGAGTTGGTGACTCTGTGGTCAGCTCCCTGGACAGAGCAAGACCCTGCATGGTGTCCCCTAGGACTAAGTCATTAGCCTGATCTCTGGATCCACAGAAGGGACTAGATAATCATTTGTTTGCTTAATGATTAGGAATTTGCTAAGATGGGTGACTCGGTCATAAGTCAAGTGTCTCTCGAGGTGGGTGCTCCTGGGGTGCACACACTGTCTCTGCTGCCGGGGTGTTTGGAGGCAGCTGTACACTTTCTAATCCTCCACCTAGGGCAAAGACAGCAAATGCAGCACCCCTGGGCCCCGGGGGCTGTGGCAGGCGTCATGGCCAGGAGGACTGTGAAATTCCGGACTTCTGCAGCTGCGGGTGCCCCTTGCCACCCTCACCCTCATGACAGCTCCTGACTCCTGGGCGAGGCGCCGTAGGAAGGGACCTGGGAGCCTGCTCTTCACTGCAGTCCTCGCTTGGTCCCCTGTAACACACTCTCTCTGTGTAGAAGGAGTTCATGAGGCAGCTGCAGACCAGCGGGGTGCTGATGGTCTTCTCCCAGGCCTGGATAGAGGAGCTGTACCACCAGGTGCTGGACAGAAACATGCTTGGAGAAGCCGGCTACTGGGGCAGCCCGGAGGACAACAGCCTGCCGCTCATCACCATGCTGACAGGTCAGTGGCCCTCCGTGGGGTAGGAGGGCTCAGCCTTCAAGGCCTGCTTCAAACACACCATAGTGTTTCACGCAGGCTTTGACACAGCACCCACGAAGCCTCTCAGTGTTGGTCGCAGCTCCAGAGTGCGCCTCACCAGCCTTCTGTCCTTTTTCCATGGGGAGCTTGTGAGGCTCTGTGTGTCTCACTAGCTGAGCACCTCATCTCTTAGTGTCGGCCACAGCTGCTCTTCCATGCATATGCAGCACTGCCTGGGCACAAGGCTTGCAATAATGTCTGAGGCTCTCACGGGTGAACAGAGGCATCAATCAGTCACTGCCCCGGGGTTTGACCAGTAGCGTAAAATGAACTTGGCCTCACTTCCATTTCCTGTCCGTAGCAGAGCTCTTCTCTTCCCACCTGTACCACAGTTACAAATGTTGCCAGTACAGATACTGGCCAGCATCTTTGGTGTCAGGGTTCAGAGCTTTTAATATCCACTCAACTGTCAGAAATTTCACAGTGAGGCCAGGCACTCAGGAGGCTGGGGTAGGAGGTTTGCTTCAAGTTCAAGGCCAGCCTGGGATACTTGGTAAGTCCAAGGCCAGTTTGGACTATATAACAGGATCCTATCTCAAAAATAGAAAGAATCGGGGCTGGGGATTTAGCTCAGCAGCATAAGTGCCTGCCTTGCAAGCAGGCAGTCGTGAGTTCGATCCCTGGTACCGATAAAAATGAAAAAGAAAAAAAGAAAGAATGAAAGCAGAGAAAAGAAGGAGGAAGAAAAGGAGGAAGGAAACAAAGAAAGAGAGAAAGAAAAAGAAAGAAATGAAACGGAACTTCACATGAGAGTGGAGAGCAGTAGTAGTTTGGATGTTGGCTTTTTTTTGAGAAGGGCAGATTTTCTTGGTTTTTTGTGGCTTAATCAGGGTGTCATCTAAAGTTCAGTGCTCAGAAGTTTTGTTTGATCATCAGAAGCCTTACTGAGACGGAATTAGGCTTGTTCCGTACTAGTTCTGAGTTTCCAGAACGGTTTCCAATCTGAATTGTCCTCTCACATCTCCTGCTAACAGGTTATGGAGCAAGGCCCTGTACCAAGTGTCCCCTGCCCCCACAGCAGGTCCCATGTCCCACACAGCTTATAGCTGTGCACCAGCAGATCTGGGATGGACAGGACTGGGTTGGCCAAAAGGTGGGTCAGGTGCCTGTGGTTGGCTCTGGGAACTCTTCAAAGGTGAGAGTTGACCCCTGGCAGGTGGCATTGGAGGGGCGGGGCCTGCTGAGGAACCAGGCAGGCAGCCAAGGCACACAGTGAGGTCCTTCTCCACAGGGCTCAGTCCTGATCACTGCCTGGCATTTGGAGTTTTACTTCCAGAACAAGGATGGAAGTGGGGGGCAAGGCTGGGCCCTGAGCCTTGGAGATCAGGATCACTGGAAAGGCACCAGTTTGTGTTTTGTTAATCATGGCAGCATTTATAACCACCTGGAAAACAATACTTTTTGTGTGTGAGGGCCATTTCCTTCATTTACTGAGAAGGAGCGCTTGCTTTCCATCTGCTGCCAGCTCCTTTTCTGGGAACGGATTGCGCTACCCAGAGCTTCTTAGTGCCTTGGAATGTGGATCTTCAGCATATCAGCTTTAACTCATTCATTTGTAAATTCCATCATTTTTTCCAAACACAGTCTTTATAAAGTCCTTACCTGAAGCTTCGAGAAAGGGGCCATTCCATGATGGGAAATGAATAACCAAGTATTAGGTAGTTACTTCATCAGTCCCCACTGCCAATCAGCTGTCTGTTTTGGAATGGAACAGAGAGCTCTGTTACTGTGTCCATGGAAAAGCTATTTAACTCTAAATTCACTCTAAAAAATAACCTGCTCATAAAAACTCAGTGCAATAAGTTTTTATGAGTCTTTGTAGCAAATGCCAGATACGGCACCACAAGCAAACTCGAGCAGCGGTTAACCTAGGGTTTGATCTTGTGCTTACATACAAGCAGAAACCAGGGCAGTAATCTGGCCCCAAAACTGTACGAAGCTGGCCACCCTTGGTGCTGTGGAAAGTACTGTAGAACTGTGCAGCTGCAGCACTCAGTTGACCAGGAACACAGGAAACACAGCCTAGAACAGTGACAATTGCTGGTGAATGCTGGTAGGCAGCCGCTTAAGCGAGAGTCAAATTAATTTCAGAGCATCTGGGATGTATCCATTTTAACAACTATAGAGATTTCTCCCTTTATCTTTTAATGTGCTTTCTAGAAATCTCCAAGCTTCTTAAAGTTTTGTAAGAATCAAAGGTAAAGTGAACCAGTTTTTACACACCCTGTGAAGAGGTACTATCCTACTGTGTCGGGGCTGAAATCCTAAAGTGAGAGTGACTTACCTCCCCTCCCTGGCTGCACTCACTTATACTGGGTCCAAGCACACATCACCACTGCTGCATGGTTGCTTCCTTTATAAGGATGTCAGCACCGGGAGAGCGGAGTGTCTGTCCAGGCGCGAGGCTGTGAGTCTACATAAATAGGAACGAAGACAGAAGCCAGCACTTGCAACCCCAGGCCACCAGTTCTTTCTTGCCGAGATGCTGAGGGGTGGTTTGTTGAACTAACCCTGTCAAGTAGGTTTTGTTCTAGGGTAGAAAGAGAAATCAAGCAGCTCAGGAGCCTGTAGTGAGCAGACACATGATATGGGAAGATATAGACATCAGTTGAATGGTCTTCTTTGCCAGCCATCTGGTTTTAAGTGATCTATCTTCTTCAAATGTTTCCTTCTTGTGTGAAATGTGAAAAGCAATGCCAGCCCTGCTTACCTACTTTGAATTGTTTGGACTATCAAATGAGAAAAAAAATGTTAGATGCAAACAATTGGAAAACTATAAAGTATTCTTATCAATGTATTATCATTGTACTCCGCTAGTACAGTAAATGATTCTCTGACTGAAGAGATCTGGGTTTTTGTTGTTGTTGTTGTTGTTCTAATGAGGAAACTCTCAAAAAAAATTCATGTTAAGGTAGCCCACCCATATAAAATTTGGAAATAAGGCCATGGTTATGAGTAAAAAAAAGTATTCAAAGATCAATTATAATTATTATAAATGAATAGATTTCCTAACAATAGAGATGGCAGAATTTGGCTTTATTTTTTGGAATACAAAATCTACAGTGGCATGACAGAAGAATGCTTTGACATTGAAAGGAAAATGGACTGACTGAGTAAAACACGAGAAAGTTCCTCGTACCTGGTGCATAGCAGACACCCTGGACGCTGGCTGAAGGAAAGTGAGGCTGATGGCAGGCGTGTTAGCCTGGAGCGTGGTATTTGGGAAAAACCTTGCTGTTTGTCCTTGGCAGATATTGATGGCTTAGAGAGCAGTGCAATTGGTGGCCAGTTGATGGCCTCAGCTTCTACCGAGTCTCCCTTCACCCAGAGCAGGAGAGTTGACGACTCCACGGTGGCAGGTAAGGACTTAGTCTTAGTTTATGAGTCTTTTTTTCATGGCATATGTCACCAGCCATTCTGTTATCGTGTGGTGACGTAATGAACAAAGACCTTGTCTTGGTTCTGACAGGAACCGATGGGAGGTCTTTAGGGTCATCTAGCTGCTGATGCTGTGGCATTTGTGATTCATAAGCACAAAGTGAAACTCGATCCCACAGGCCATTAAGTGGCCTTTCCTGCCACAGAACTGCGTGCAACTTAGCATTCTTAATCTGATAGCTGGAGAAGCCCAGGCCATCCTTTGCCAGGTTGTTCCTGTCTCTGGAAAGCGACCATGCACCTTCATGTCCTAGGTGTGGCATTTGCTCGCTACATCCTGGTCGGCTGCTGGAAGAACCTGATCGATACCTTGTCGACCCCACTGACTGGCCGCATGGCAGGGAGCTCCAAAGGGCTGGCCTTCATCCTGGGAGCTGAGGGCATCAAAGAACAGAACCAAAAGGAACGTGACGCCATCTGCATGAGCCTCGATGGGTTGAGGAAAGCTGCCAGGCTGAGCTGTGCACTAGGTACTGGGAAGCTGGTCTTTTGCAAGGGCTTCTGGAGAGTCTGCTCAGTTAAGGGGTAGCTAGCTGTCTGTTTCCTCTAAAGGGGTTGCTGCTAACTGCGCCTCGGCCCTCGCTCAGATGGCAGCTGCCTCTTGCGTTCAGGAAGACAAGGAAGAAAGGGAAGTCCAAGAACCCAGTGATGCCATAGCACAAGGTAACAGCTGCGGGGCCAGCAGCCACCTGGACGTGGTGTGGGCACACCTGCCGGGCGGCAGTCATCCCTGTTCTGTGTGATCCACAGTCAGTGTACACCCCCAAGCCACGAGCTCAGGCTTGCTGGAAGTGAGGAACATACGCGCTCAGAGTCCATCCCTCTGGCCCCTAGTGGTGAGGCAAGCGCAACTGGCTGACGCCTGTAGTCTCCCATCCAACTAGTCGTCATCTGGCCACCAGGTCTCATGCTTATGGTGGTGCATGTGTAAAGGGTCCCCTAGTTTATAGTGGGGATGACCGGCAGGCCAGTTTTCTGAAAGGGAAAAAAAACAAATGGGGGAATTGAGAGAGAATGCTCAGGAAAGCTTTGCACTTGTCAGAGAGAAGCCTGTGCTTTGCGGACTTAGAAAAGTGTTTGTTTGCTCTTGTGTCACTTTGGAGATGGGTCTCACTGTGTGTCCAGGCCGTCCTCTAACCTGCTGTGTAGCTCAGGCTAGCGCTGAACCCTCAATTCTCCTGTCTCAGCCCCTGGAGCGCTGGGATTACAGACATGAGCTATCACGTCCAGCACAGCAAGTACCGATTTTTAACTTGTTGAAATCAGTAAGTCGATAAAGTTAGTGGTCACCTACATAGGAGGCAGAGAATGACCTTTCCAATAGCAGTGGAAGCCGAAAGGCAGGTAGCAAAAGGGGAAAGGCACGCTTGCTCCAAATTACACGAATGCCATCTACTAGATGAGTAAAGTAGCCGTTACCGAAACAGTTGTGCAAGTTGAGCTCAGACAAAAATTCAGGCCAGTGTTCCTCAAGCTTGAATAATATTTAAAGATCCATTTGAAAACAAAGTAATTCTTAGAGATCCCCAACGTTACTGAAAAAAAGGAAAACACAGTTTCACTGAAGCATTGTACAACATGAGCTACACTAAAATTCTTACATGTGAAAAAAAATCTTACATGTGTAGTTCTTCAGAAACCCTCACGACTGAGAATTGGGATATAGCTCAGTGGTAGAGCACTTGCCTAGCATGCACAAGGACCTGTGTTCAATCCCCAGCACTGCAAGAACAACCAAGGGCAGGCGGTTAGCTCAGTGGCTCAAGCCCAGTTCTGAGTTCAATCCCTGCACCAAAACAGCAACAAAAACCACGCCAACCCACAGAAGGCCAAAAGTAAAATAATAAAATTGCAAACAATATACATAGTTCATATAGGTTCCTGAGACAAAGGCTGTTTTGCTAAAAATCACAGGAGAATAATTCAGAGGCCTTTGAAGTTAGTGCACTGTATTTCTCAGTTATAAATTGCAACTCACTTTTCCCACCAGACATAGTGACTTGAAACCTTTATTGAAGGTTTGTCATTTGTCATTTGGCCTTGCCTCACATGCCACATAATTGCCATCCTGAGGTAACATGACATCTTTTCTCATTAGTTATCAGAAATAATAATTTTAAGAAAATATTATGTGGAACTCACAAAAACAAGCATAAATTCAGGGTGGAGGGAAATGATGCAACTGTCAGCTATAAAAACATCATCCCAGTGCTCAGGATCTACACACGCAGTGTTGGGGTGAGCATCCTAATAAAAGCATAGTGTGAGCCGTCTCAGCGAGAAGGTGCAGACTGCCGGGAACCCCTCTCCATCCCCAGGCAGAGCGCCTAGGGGAGGCAGAGGGTGAGAGCTCAGGTGGGTGAGCTGAAGTCTGAAGCCTATCCACACTGCCACCGCTGCCCCAGAGGCCATAGTGGGCTGGGAGGAGCCGCACCGACAGCTTGGGATCCATCTGACTTCAGAGCCACAGAGCTGGGCCACCCGTGTGTGTGGCCTGCTTGCTGGGTAGTGTGCATGACGAACCCGAAGGCCCTACAGAGAGGTGCTTGCTGACAAGGAAGTCTGTTGTTGCCCTTTCGCCCTTGCATGAGCACACTTGCTGTCATTCTCATCCTGTCTCTCTCCCTTTCTGTCTCCCTTGCTCAGAGCGTTATTTTAATAAATGTCTTTCTGACACAGTGAAACTAAAAGTGGAGCAGAAACTGGAGCAGATGGGGAAGGTGCAGGGGGTGTGGCTGCACACGGCCCACGTCCTGTGCATGGATGCCATCCTCAGCGTAGGCCTGGAGATGGGGAGCCACAACCCGGACTGCTGGCCACACGTGTTCAGGTGCATGGCGGGTCCCCAGCCCCGGCAGCACCGACCCTGCTTTCCCAGAGTTTGATTCCACTTCCAGTGAGAGAGGAAAGGAGAGGCGGGAGGGGCTGAAGGCTCAGTGGACATGTTTTGGAGAATAGAGTAGCAGAGCCAGATTTAAGGAACTGAGCAGCACATGTGCTATGGCTGGAATGATACAGAAAAGATTAGCATGGCTCTGTGCAAGGAAGGATTGTGATTTATCTGTTGATATTGTCACAAGGAACAGACATGTTGTATTGAGGAGAAAATAAACCAGTTTCTTAAGTAGTAGATGGAAGAAAACCACAAAAGTTAAGTGAATACTGTAAAAATCTAAAAACCGTTCACATGTCAGCAATATAGCTTTGCTGTGTGTCTGTCAGTATCCCTTGTACTTAACGGATAGCATGTCTGGTTATATAAAATACCTAAAGATACTATCTTAACTAGACAAATTAAAAGCAAAATAAGATATCTGTAGCAAAGACCAGCCAAAGCTTTGTAGCATCAAAGTGAAAAGAAACTCCCCATCAGCCACACAGTACACAGTAGTAAGAGCTGAAAACACGGCAGTATCCCACCCAGAGAACACGTCTTCTCTGACTAAGGCAGCAAGTGTTTCTCCCCAGGCCCTGGCCTGGGGGTACAAGGGAAGGAGCACCATTCATAGAGCAAGCTGTGCCTACCCTGCGCACAGCCCAGGCCCGAGGTGCCACATCAAGTGTACCTCTCAGGCAGATCAGCTGCAGTGCAGGAGCAGCAGGAGCTCCTGCAAGACCTGGGTTCACTCTGATGTCACCAAAGCTAAGGCAGCTATGAGTGTGTGTTGAGTTTCCAAAAGAGATGCAGAGTATTCTAGGGCTATAAAACCGACCAGCTGGAGAGGAACATGTGGAGGCAGGGTGAGTCAGCCTGGGGCTAAGTGGGATTCTCTTAGTCTGGGACTGGCTGCTCACATGCCCCTTGAGCAATGTGGACACCATCAGGAGAATCCTTGATTGTAGAACATCCAAGCGGATTATCCAGGATGCCTTTACCAGTAAGTGATTCTTTGGGAGTAATGAGAGGCGTCTTATGAAACATTCTAGTTTCAGGAACAGACACTTTGGGAGTTGGAAGTTGTACCATACATTGTGACTCCTCTTGGTGTCTGCTACACTGGAAGACCACTCCAGCACAAGGGCGATGGAGCTATCAGGACCAGGCAGGGCCAGGCTGGGCATCATGTGCATGCTCATCATAAGGGTCCTCATAGGAAGGTAATCAGAGCATTACCTGGAGAGAAAGAAGGTCCTTAGGGGGAACTGGCTCAGATAGCCAGGATCCAGATACACCAGCAAGTTGAGCAAGATGACGCTGGGTAAACTGGACTCCTTTGTCCATCTCTCTCCCGTGGTGTGATAGGTGAGAGAATCCGAAGGGTTCCTAGGCAGAGCAAGGCTGTATGGTAGGCATGCATGCGCACATACTCATGTAGTGAAGAGACAGGGAAGGGTAGAAGGGCTATGAGAAAATGAAACAGTGGGCTGAACTCCGGAGCTGGCCCAGGTGCCTCTGCATCTCCCGGAGGGGTGGATGGAGCTGGTGGCCTGAGCCACCACACTGACGGCTGCTTGTCTGACTCTTCCCAGGGTGTGCGAGTATGTGGGCACCTTGGAGCACACCCACTTCAGTGACGGAGCTTCGCATTCTCCCCTGGCCATCAGTCAGCCCCAGAAGGCAGCCGGGGCTTCTGGGATCCTTGGGGACCTGGAGTGTGAGGACTGTTCCCAGGAGCCAAGCGTGGAGCAGGGGTCCTCCCTGAGCACAGCTCCTGTGGTCCAGCCTCTGTCTATCCCGGAGCTCGTCCGGGAAAGCAGCCGGGGCCGGGCCTCTGACTTCCGTGGCGGCAGCCTCATGAGCGGGAGCAGTGCCGCCAAGGTGGTGCTGAGCCTCTCCACCCAGGCTGACAGGTACATATGTGCCCAAGGACACACTCCCAGGGATTCTCGCAGGGGCAGCCATGGCCTGTTTGTAGCACCCACTCCATCTGTCTAGTCTCAGGATCAGCCCAGAGACCACATGATTTGTTGGTCATTTTAAGTGTCTTTTGATCTGTTTCAAGTGTACTTGTCCCAGCCTCCACTCTCCATTCTTAGAATAAGCCATTTTCTAGAGCCTAAGTCTTGGACCAGCTACCTGCAGGTAAAGATCTGCAACTGTCTGTGCTGTCATGTTGGACAACTTCAAGCCCTCCATGGTTCCCATTTTCCTTGTGGGTAAAATAGGGTTCTTATTCTTTAGGTAACTCTCTCCCAAGGTAGTTATGTATTAAATCAATTCATACTTGTACAGTTGCCAGAGCAGAGCTTTGCAAATAGTGAATATCTACTATTTTTATGATTCTTACAAAATCCAGTACCAAGCAATATATAACTTATTGATACCCAAACAACCATATCAAGATCAGGAGGGGAAATCAACAACTGCCCCATTGTTGGGTGAGACTTTTTGATGCTGAAAGTTTTCATCACCTGTTGCACATGGTACCACCTCACCCAACTTCTTGGTGTGGTCATAATGCCCCAGGCTTCCCAGCAGTGGCACCATGAAGTGTTTACAAAGGTCAGGCAGACAGGTCACTGGGCTGGGGCATGGAAAGTCCTGACTTCACGCTCTGGCTTCAACACCGACCAACTGCAAGATCGTGTCTACTGACAAAAGTCTGCTGAGACTCAGTTTCTCCACTAAGTCATGCAGTATGCACATGTGACCAGCTATGTGATGGTTCTTTCCTGCTGTTTATCCATCAAGTTGGCCATGAAAGTATTTTGGAATCTGAGAAGCAACATGTCAGGTAATAGTGGAGTAATCCACTATTATTTTTAAGACCTAAACCATTAATAAGACCTAAAATCCAAATGTTGTCAAAGTTGGAATTACAGAAATAGCAAGAAAAATGTATCAGTTTTAATGATTTATAGATATTTAATCTCCTTCCCATCTTAGACCTTAATGCGTCTCATTTTGTACCTCCAAAAAGGCTCGGGATTCAGAGATGCTGTCACCGACATCAGTGATATCCCACAGACTCTGGCCTGTGGTGTCCCACAGGCTTGGAAAGCAGGATGTGGGGCAACCCAAGCATGACAGGGTGGCTTGCCTCCATACAGTAGTAAAATTTGATGTTGGCACACCTCATCCTGGTGACCCACTATTATGACCCCCTGTTACCATGATCTCCCCTCCTTCTCTAATCCTTTTGTTGGAAATGTCTTGTGCCAGAGGAATGAAAAAGCAAAAAGAACCTATAATGAGGCCCATTGTTTTCTCAGTGGTGGGGGTCAAACCCAGAGCCTCAAGTGTGCTAAAGACTTGATTTACTACTGAGCTACATTCCCCGATTAAGGGACATTCATTCTTCTAGCAGACGCTTGAGCATCCTTAACATCCTTGGCTATGGGTCTCTAACAGCAGTGCCACCCTTGGAGCTTATAGGATGTGGTCTTAAGTGCATTTGTATCTTCCTCAGTGTGTGTGTGTGTGTGTGTGTGTGTGTGTGTGTATCTCATGTGAGTTTGCAGTGCTCCTGAGGACTCCGTTCCCTGTTACTCAGATTCTGGGGGTGTTTCTCCATCTTTCACCTTCTTGCCACATTCTGGGGGTACCTGCCATGACTGAGCTACACCATGAGGAAACTAAAATATGCTTTGCACCCTTGCATCGAAATTCCACAATTAGTATAGACTCGTGCACAACAGTAATAGATATACTAATACATTTGTCAACAGTGTTTACACAGTATTGATGTTAATTACATCAACAAAATTACCATAATCATTGTACCATAAAGTCCTGGCTGGATTTCTTCCAAGTAACAGATCGCCTCTGTTTATACCCAGGCTCTTTGAAGATGCTACAGATAAGCTGAACCTCATGGCTTTGGGCAGCTTCCTTTACCAGTTGAAGAAAGCATCCCAGTCCCAGCTTTTCCATTCTGTTACGGATACAGTTGATTACTCTCTGGCAATGCCAGGTAATTATTTCTCTGACGGAACGGTGCAGGGCAGTGAGCACGAGACAGCCACATCTCCCCGAGTCTGTTTCCTTCTCACCAGGTCATACTGGTGCAGTGCAGTGCAGGTGTGTCTTTCAGTTTTGAGGCGCAATGGTGGAGGTGCTGCCAGCACTGCAGGTATTGCCCCGGAAGCAGGGCTGAGTTGTTCTGCTCAGGTTTGTGCTTGTTACAGAGAAACTGGCTACTTTCCATGCCCCAGCCAGCATCCAAGGGTGGGCAGGATACTCCCTGCCTCAAATCCACCCCTCACTTCCATCTACGTGCCAAAGTAACCCCTGGAGAAGGCAGATTAGAAGAGAAAAGTGGGGCGGATAACAGGAGCAGTATCACGTGCTTAGAGACTGCTCCTCGGGCTGATGATGGGCCAGCATTGCAGTGCCCATGGATGAGGCCAGGTGCAGATGCCCTCCTGAAGACCACTCCTACAGAAGAAGGAACCGAGCTATGCAAACTGCCAAGGTGCCAGCAGCAGGTGCTGGGATGCACTTCGGTTGTACTGAAGAACTGCTGCCATTCCTCCCATCTTAGGAATCTGAGTTTGCAGAAGCTAGATTTGGACCCTTTGATGCTTGCTGAAGATTCTGACTTCAGAACCACATTCCTTTCCCAACTACTTTTGTTTGCTTATTTCATTTGATCTTTTAATTCATTTTGTTTAACAAACTCTTGTATCCCTGACTTGTTTTCCACAGATGACAGGAAGGGAGCTGCTCTGATACACACAAAACCCTAACCCAAAAGCAGATCACCTGTGACTGCCACCAGCTTTTAACAGACTTTCAAACCTTAACTATATAAAGCCAACCACCTGGGCTCCTCAGATTCCAGGGTATTTCTGAGCCCACCATGACCTTCAAAGTCTCCTGCCTTAGAGAAAACTGGAGCCTTGGGGCTTACAGAGAAACAGTAACTGGAGCTCGGATGAGGGATGAGGATGGAGCTCTGGCTCTGAAACCCATGAACGGGGGTTAAGATGCTGCCACACACTTACCAGCTGTATTGGCTGAGCAAATCACTTTGCCTTTCACGCATTCAGTGCTCTATAAAATCACACTAATTCTATTTACATCTTGGGACTGCTTTAGAAATTAAAGATGTAAAGAACCAACACAATGTCTGTTCCTAGGAAAATATTCAGTAAACATCCGCGGTTACTCTTCCTGTTATCTGAAGTCTGTTTGACATGAGATTCTGTGGGACATGAGGGAGGGACGTCAGGACACAAGCAAGAAGGCAGTGGGAAGACTAAGGTGGCAGTGACAAAGTCGCATGAGACTGGGGTGGTGAGGATGCAGGTCAGCAGCCTGTCAGTGAGGAACAGAAGGGCCCCGGCTACTTGCCAAGGCTGCAGCGGTGCCTTAAGGGTTGGCAACATCAGTGATGACAGTGAAGCATGATGGGAACGGTAATGACAGCCCCAAAAGCATGCGTTAGCGGGAGGCAGCCCTGCACTTGGCCCTTGATGTGTAGCACCACATTTATTTAACTGTTAAAGCATCTTTAAGAAGCAGTGCCTCTCTCCAGTTCCAGCTGAGATCCTGGGGGTGAGCAAGGAAGCCTTTGGCCTGTGCTAACGATGCTAATGAGTGGTGGTGCCAGGACTTGAGTCCAGGCATCTGACCACCCCTGCTTCCTACTCAGCCCTCACTCCATTTCTCCTTCTCAGCAAGTACTGTCACACCTGTCCCATAGCAGAGACAGAGGACATGGTGGTGAACAATGAGCTCTATATTTTTGAATCAAGGGCTCCCTCCATGCTTGTGCAGCCCACACTGGGTAATCCTGTAGGTCTGAGAATGGTACCTTGATTATCAGCCTCTCTATGCTCAAGCTTTCCAGCTGTATGGTCCTGCCTTCCTACAGGGGAAGTTAAGTCCACCCAGGACAGAAAGAGCGCGCTCCACCTGTTCCGCCTGGGGGACGCCATGCTGAGGATCGTGCGCAGCAAAGCCCGCCCCCTGCTGCACGTGATGCGCTGCTGGAGCCTGGTGGCCCCGCACCTGGTGGAGGTGAGGCCCCTGGACAGGTTCCTCTGGCTGGGGAAAGACCTGCAGAACTGGGCAAGAGCTGCCGTTGGTGTGTGGACAGAGTGCTGGGCTTTGAGGCTATGAGCTCTTTCCCCTAGAGTCTTTGTGACTTTCTGGTCACAAAATCATTGTTCTCTGGTTAAACCTCAGGGCACCTGGAGAACCATCCCGAAGTGTAAAGCTGTTCTGGTCTCACTATATGCCTTAGTTATTTTCTGGGGCTGGGACACAATACCTGACACCGACAAGTGTAAGAGGAAGAGACTGACTTTAACTCACAGTGTGTAAAGTCCCGGTCTGTAGCTGAATGGCTCCAAGGCAGAGTGGCACAGCAGAGGAGCATGGCAGAGAACAAATAGCTCTTGGCATGGTGGCAGGAAGCAGAGCCAGTGATCACGGGAGGAGGCGGGGCACAGACCCTGCCAGGCCACACCCCGGTGGCCCACCTTCTCCACGCCTCACCTCCCATCGTCGCATTTAGCTGTGACTTGTTAGTGGACTCAAGCATTGCTGAGTGTCACGGCCCCATGATCCAATCACACCCACACCCCAAACCCTAGCTGTGAGCACAGGAGACTGTGAGGAGACAACTAGATATGAATCGTAGCTGTGCCTCTTCAGTTATTCAGTTTCCTTGCAAGGCCAGGTTTTCTCTCTTTATAATCTGCCATCAATCTGAGTCTGAAGCTAAAGACAAATAGAGGGCTCCTCATAGCTTCCTTTCATATATAAATACACCAATGTCGTTCCTACCATTCTCTCTTTTCTAATAATTTAATTACTCAGAACAATTTCTTTCAGTAAGGAAACCATATCTCTTGGTTTGCCTAACAGGATTAATGCTAAGGCTCTTTCACTTTCCAAAAGAGCATTTTGTGGGATAAATTTTGGGGCAGTTGCCCATCTGACTATCTCAATTCATGATGCCTGGCTGATTCTATGTTGACAAGAAAAAATATTGCCATGTTTAGTGTGACAACTATTTTTAATAGCCTTTTAGCATCATTTGATAAAGATACACAATAAAAGGTTTTGGGGATTCACTAACTAGAGAATATTCTTATAGGGTAAAAGAGTAGAAAATGTTAATTTAGAGAAGAAATATTTCAGTTTTATTGCACTATAATAAAACACCCTTTCTTGGTTACTTTTTTCTCATTGCTGAGACAAAATACTCAACACCCAAAATTATGGAAAGGTTTGTTTAGCTAACAGTTTGGAGAGGTTTCAGTTCATAATCAGCTGGCTCCAAGGTACAGCAGCATGGCACAGGGGCAGCAGTTCAAGTTGGCAGAAGACAGCAAAGGCAAACAGGAGCAAAAAGGGGAGAACAAGCCTGTTTTCCTCCCTTTCCCTGTAAGCAGACTACAGCCTGGGATGGGTGTATCACTTATACCATCTCTATGCCTTCCTCTTACATAGGCTCATGATGTTTACCAAGTAAGAACCCTGACTCCCTGCTGAGTTGCTTGAACTTCTCAAGTTGACACAATGTATCAACCATAACAACCCCCCAAACCTACTGGCTAGGTTTATTTAGCTCTTGATCTTTGGGTCAGAAATCTAAGGAAAGCTCATCTGGGTTATTCTGATCAGGGCCAGCCTCCTGGGTGTCAACTGTCTTGGTTTTGCACCAGGTTGGCTGGTATAAAGCCTGGCGCCAGCTGGTTCATGATGGCCTAAACCAGGAAGGGACAAATCTCTTTGTACCTGGTTTCTTGCAAAGAAAAACATGCAGCAGACCAACCCTACTCATCACATGGTGTTTTGTCAGAACATCAAGAGAGCAAACTGTACCTCACAACTGCTTTTTAATTCTCAGCTTAGATAATGTTCAATACTATCGCATGTCCAAGCACAGGGTCAGTATGAAGGAAACCGCACAAAGGGCACAGAGTCAAGAGGTGTGGGCTTGCGCGTGGCCTGCCTTACCAAGCGGGGGACAAAGGACTCCCTAGACTCTAGGCTTGCGGTACAGCTAAGGAGGGATCATACATAGTGCCAGACTAGCTTCTGTTATCTTTATTGTGAGCATGTTCTGTAGTATCTGTGCCATCCAGGAAAACTGTCGTGCGGACTTCAAGGGGGAAAACAAAGCCCGGAAATGTATTTTTCCATTCACATGGAACTGATTTGTCTGATCTGCTGGTTGAATATCTTCAAGTGCAATTTACTGCACAGTTCATCTGTATTTATTCTTTAGGATTTTCGCCATTCCAGAATTGTTGCTTCTCTCTGCATAACGAGTGAGCTGCACAAGCCACAGAACTGCATTCCTTTTCTCTGACATCCTGCTGGTGTCCCGCTCTTTCCTGTCCTGTGCAGGCTGCCTGCCACAAGGAGAGACACGTGTCTCAGAAGGCGGTGTCCTTCATCCATGACATCCTGACAGAAGTGCTCACAGACTGGAACGAGCCGCCTCATTTTCACTTTCACGAAGCACTCTTCCGACCCTTCGAGCGTATTATGCAGCTGGAGTTGTGTGATGAAGATGTCCAAGACCAGGTCAGTGCGACACTGCCATTCAGCGATATCATCGCCAGAGGCAGCTTCCAGAGTGCATCATGGCTGTCGTGTTCCTCTGAGCCAGGCACCTTCAATCCTCCCAGTAATCTTGAATTGAGCTGGTGACACAGACAAGTTGCCCAGTTTAGCTACACATGCCTACCTAGTGACAGTGGACCTGGGGTTTGGGCCTGGACAGTCTGACCAGAGTGGTCCATCCCCTCTTACCCACCACCATCCTACTACTGGCAAATGGTAAAGGAACCTGCTGCAGGCTTCCTGGTTAACACAACAGTGGGCTAGGAACACAGACCAATCCATCTCTGAAATCTGAAAGTCTTATTAGTGTCTGTTTGTGACACGTGCTGACACTCAGCTTGGGGATTTCTTACGTACACATATCCCATCTTGACCATTTTAACTGATCCCTTCCCTGACCCTTTCCCATCTCAACAGAGTCACCTCCATGGTCCTTAACAGGACTCTAAATTGTTTATATTTTGGGTCTGTCCTGCTAGAGACCCATGCAAGGTGATATTCCTACAGGTATGTGGACATATTGGCAAAAATAAGAAATATCAAAACACTCAAAACTAAGTGACAGTGAGAAGCCAGAGAAAGCAACTGGGCTGCAGCTGGTTTTACAGGGAGGGAATTTGACATCGGGTGAAGCAGGGATCCTGGTGTCTCATTCTTGAGGGCATAGGGACAGGAGACAAAGCTCCGTGCTACAGTAGAAGCTGTGTCCACTCAGGCCCCTGTGAAATTAGAACCGAACCCAAGCATCACCCTTCCCAAGAGCAATCCGTTTCTGACAGTGATTCATAGTGGAGACTTCTTAAAAATTCTCCAGAATTTAAAATGACAAGCTATCCTCTTCCTGGGGTCTCGTCTGAAATTGCACCACCTCAAGGGTACAAAAGTAACTCCATGTGTTGTAATTTCATAAAAAGCAAAAACCACTCCTGTTTCTAGAAGAAACCCCAGTAGGCAATCAGAGAGCTTGAATTAGGCAGATTTCTTAGAAATACCAGCAATATGAACCATAAAAAGAAAAACTGATGAATCAGACTTTATCAAAACTATGAAATTTTGTTCTTTAAAAGATACTATTAAAAGATAAAAATGAGACAAACCTGAAAGTGTTAAAAATGTTTCTACATCATAAGTCTTAGGAAGGATTTGAATCTACCATGCACATACACTAACGGCTCAGTAATCGAAAGACAATAAGGAGAAAGTATGCACTCAATGTAAAAAGCAGCAGTGTTTACAGACTGGCTACTGAGGGTGTGAAGACGGCTCAGCAACTCGGCAATGTTAGTGATGAGTGAAATGCAAATTCTGCAGTCTGGCTGCTCATTCTGAAGTCTGCGGAAGGAGCCTACCTAGGTTCTGGCTTTTCTCTTTCCTTAAAATGAGTCCAGAAAAATACCTCCCCCTTCCCAGAAATTCTCCTGCTTCTGTTGAGTGCCACCCCCTCTGTCTCAGGTGGTGACATCCATCGGGGAGCTGGTGGAAGTGTGTTCCACGAAGATCCAGTCCGGGTGGCGGCCCCTGTTCAGTGCCCTGGAGACCGTGCACGGCGGGGACAAGTCCGAGATGAAGGAGTACCTCGTGGGAGACTACTCCATGGGTAAGGGTGTTCATTCTTCATGCCAAGTGTCATGTTACCAAAAGACACACTGAGCAAGAGGGAAGACGTTCAGTCACTTTATAAGCAGGAAATAATGTGTAACAAAGACCTGCGTCCCACCGGTAGCTCAAGAGCCTCCTCTGGCTGACAGGTGGGTAAAAGGCTGAGAGGTTTCCATTGATTCACTATGCATTGCGGTGTAGATTTGCTTCCATAAGCCAAAAGTAAACAGTGTTATAGGTCATGCATCTGAAAAAAACTTTAATTTTTTAAATTAAATTAAAAATTTATTAAAATTTTCAATTAAAATTTTATTAATTAAAGTTTTTAATTAAATTAAGAATTTTTTGTACCAGGAATAAAACTCTAGACCTTTCGCTTGCCATGCAGGTGCTTGTGACACTAAGCTATATCCCCAGGCCATGAAAATGAAGAAATCTGAAATGCCCTCAAATTCAAAACTCTTGGAGTATTTCAGAAAATTTCAGATTTCAGATTTTCAGACAAGGGATGCTCAATCACTAACGTCTGTACAAATACCCCAAAAGTATTAAAAAAAAAAAACTCTCGGAAATCTAGAAATCATCTCATCCCCAGCATTTAGGATGAGGGATTCCTATCCTACTCCCACATGTTAATAAGAAGCAGAAGTTTCCTGACACAGGGGAGTCGGGATCAGAGTGGCTGTACAGGCAGGTACAGTATCCGGATCGTTGTGTCAGGAGTCCCCAAGGCCGCCCACACTGAGAAGCTCACGAGGACTCAGAATATAGTTTTGCTCACACTCGTCCGGTGTGTTGCACAGCTCGTGGCTAAGATTTGCCGTGGCAAGGGAGTGAGGACACTGGCAGGTCAGGGCGCCCTCCGCTGGCACGCAGCAAAGGCCCGGACGAAGGACAGCAGGTGTTCAGCATCAAGCATATTAGGTTTGTCTAACTATTCTGGGCTTAAGGACCCTCCTGCCAAGTACTGATGACAAATGAGGGCCACCTTGCAAGCAAGCTTCGGGGAGGCTAGCAGGCCCAGGCCTTCTGGATGAGCTCTCTCTGCCCAGGGATGAGTACACTCATGTGTGCTCTCTCCGGTTGGCGACACAGGATTTTCCCTTGCCCGTGGATCTGCTAGCTACAGTTTTCTGTGCAGGAGCATTTCCAGAGGCACACGTTTCACTGCCCTATAGACTACACATCACAGCAGCCTGCATTCCTCCAGCTCTGCCCTCGTCTGTCCACCTAACTTTCCCCCCATATGTGTATTTGCACTGGTGCATGTTAGTTACACAGAACACTGGCTTTCGGTGTGGCACTTTCGTACATGCAGATAACATAGCTTTCTTTATACCCTTCCCAGAGCTCCCTGCAGGGGAAGCTGAGCAAGATAGGCCCCCAGGCACACCCACCTTGCAGTCTAAAGGGCTGTCCTTTCTCCAGGGGTTAGTACTGGGAATATGAAGAACCTGAAAGGTACAAACCTCTTCTCTAACTCTGCAATCTGCCTCCTCCAGGAAAAGGCCAAGCTCCAGTGTTCGATGTGTTTGAAGCATTTCTCAACACTGACAACATCCAGGTCTTTGCTAATGCGGCCACCAGTTACATCATGTGCCTTATGAAGTTTGTCAAAGGACTGGGTAAGAGAGTCCTTCTTTTGTATCTCATAACCACTGGAGAGACAGGACCCCGCCACCACCTGGAGCAAGCAACATCTGGGTCATGAATGAACAGAGCTGAGTCATACAGGCAGGGGCAGAGAGCTTACTATGAAAGCAGCCCAGCTTTGTCCCAGTCGATGTTTCTTCATTGTGTTCATAATTATCTTATAATGTATGTATATATAAAATACTGTGTAGTTTCAAGCTATCCATTATACCAGCTTTTTAAATCTTAAAATACTTCGTAAAGGCAATCATATTTATTTTTTTTTTTTTTTTGAGAGAGGGTCTCATTATACAGTTCAGGCTGGGCTTGACCTCACCATGATGCTCCTGCCTCAGCCTCCTGGAGTGCTGGGATTATAGGTGTGCACCACCACACCCAGCTTCTAACTATTATTTCTTTATGTAGGAAATTATTCGTCTCAGTGTTACACAATTAGCCTAAACTTGATGTCTCAGCTCCTGAGAAAATATTAATAATGTCTCCTCCCAGGACTTACTAATTTATATAATAAAGTTTAAATTAAAAATCAGGCATAGTAAAAGATTAATAATAACATTACAATAAGCTAAAACAATAGTAGTAGTATGTTGATCAATACCTCAGATGTCTACTAAGTAACAGGCAAGTAGCATATACAATGTGGATACATTGGATAAGGAAATGATTCATGTCCCACGCTGTCTGTGTTCTACTCAGCTCCATTGAGTGCTATTATCACAGATTCATAGATCCGCATACAACACATACACACAGATTTTGGAACACCTACTATAATCAAAGATAGAAAATGAATTTAATTTCCACATGAATTTCACCTGGTCTCTGTTTTTATACCGTAAGGTATGTTAATGTAAATCTGGAGCTGGCAAACTAGGACTCTCAAATCCAATCTGATCCACTGCCAGACAGTTTTATAAAGTTTTGTTGGAACACAGCCATGCCCATTTGTCCATGACTGTGCTAAAACAACAGGGTCTCACAACAAGTTGTGAGGATAGTCAGCGTGACCTGCAAAACCTGAGGTACTTACTGTTTACCCTGTAGGCAGGCAAAGTCTTTTTTATAATGTAAAACATGTTTATCTACATTTTTTTAAGGAGAAGCATGCCTCATTGCTTCTGAGTTTTAACTACTGCCTAGTAATTATGTCTGTTTACCCACAAGGGAGGGTGCTAGTTGACACAATTATAGACAATTAGAAACAATTACAGTGTTGAGAATGAGTTTATCAAAAGTATGGAAATAGATTGATTATATGAGAAGAAAAATTAAAATTCTCAACTATTTATACCTATAAAAAAATTGAGAGGCCCTTCTTCAGATATGTTAAATCTTCACATATGTAGAAAAATGAATTCACTCAAGTTCAGTTAAGTAGTGGCTGTCCCCAGTCCCCAGATATTTATAGTCTTCCTGGAGTTCCCTCATTTACCATCGTCACTTAGTGCTATGCATTTCCAAACAGAGGGGCAGGAGTTTCCATTTCAGCCCCGCACCAGCTCACCCATCATCTGTCACCAAAGCCTGAGAAGTCACACCACCGAACAGTCGGCCCAGAGTAGTGAACTGCAGGATGTCGGTCTGCACACAAAAGAACATGGTCCAGCGTGTGAAGGGACTGGGGTAGAAAACTGAGCACACGCTCATGGGGAGAAGGGTGATCAAGAAGACTTTTGGCAATGTTGTGTCCTGGGCATCATTTTTCTTTCTTCCTAATTTTGGCTAATATTCAGTGTATCGATGCTACATGAAGGAACAGGTCTGTGTTGTAAGAGAAAAGCCAGGTGATGTTGTCTCTCTCTATCTCTGTCTCCGTCTCCCTCTCGGCCCCAGGGGAGGTAGACTGTAAAGAGATTGGAGACTGCGTCCCGGGACCAGGGGCCACGTCCACAGACCTGTGCCTGCCCGCGCTGGACTACCTCAGGCGCTGTTCGCAGGTACGAGGAGCGGCCACGCTCGGCCTGGAGGATGCTGATGGACACAGCAGGTGTATCTTGCTGAAGCCCAGGACAGTCATTTTCTGCTATTTCTGAGAAGATTAGCACTTAGACTTGAAGAGCGCATTTTTCATGAAAACAAATCGTGAAAATAGGCTGGGACACGTGGCCCAGAGAGCTCTCATGCTTCTCACCTCACTGAGACACCCAGAGTACCACTGTCTCTGTCTTCGCCTGAGCTCGCTGGGGAAGGGTTGTGAGGTCGTGGGAAGGCTTCCTGCTGCTTCTGGAAAGTGGAGGGCGGGATGTGTCCAGCTAATCTCTGGCTAAGAAATCCAGCACTTACCAGTGTGAACAGTACCCTTTCAGGACCCAGTACTGGATTTGCTGTGTTCTTATTTGCCTCAAATGCCGAACAAGTGAAACAGCGCTCCCTCCTCCAGCTTCCGCCTCGTGGGGTCAGGAACAGTGTTTCTCAAAGGTCTTTCTGTTACCTTCATGTGCTGGGTCCCAGGCCTCTGCTGGCTTGATCTGCCTCTCTGCCTATGGTGATATTGAGTCCCGTGACTTTAGGAAGGACAGACAGCCCTGACTTCCTCCACCAGGCTTTGTGATGCCCTCCACCTCAGGTTTTCCCTCTCACCCACGGCCCTCCAGCCACACTGGCTTTCTGCCCCATGCCCCACACTACCAGGGCCATTTCTGTGCCTGTTGCCTGGACTCTCTGTCCCAAAGTCCCTGGCTGGCATGCCGCACCACCCAGGTCATCTCAGAAATGTCCCCGTCTGAGAGAGTGGGGCCGCAGGACCTACCAACTGCCTGCCAGCAGTTCCCATTCACCACAGTCACTCTTTCTTATATACCTGTTTAATTTTTCCTACAAGTCATGTGTTGGGAATTTTATTTTTTTATGAAAGGATTGTGGTTTATAAGGCCCACAGGGACAGGAATTCCAGCTGTCCTGCTCACAGACATTCCCCTGCTTTCTAGAACAATGTGGGCATGGCGGGCGTAATTCTATGCCTTGAAGCTGTGAGGACCCCCGAGGTGGAGGTGCGGTAGCTTTGAGGCGGGTAAAGAACCCTTGCCAAGACCTTCGCTTTCCCATCTTGCCCGCTGACTTCTTCATTTGCTCTTTTGCCTCTGTTTCCTTGGAGACTGGGGAGGGGAAGCCAGAGTCTGACAACCCATTTGCCTGCAGACTCTTCTCAGGTTTGCCTTATAAGCAAAAATTCTCAACACATGTGTGATTCCCTCGGGGGTTAAGAAACTCTATAAAACTCGTGTAGCTGTAGCTAAGATCCTGAAAACGGAGCCTTTTTGCCTCCACTGAGTGCTGTTTCATCTGCTTAGTGGGATGTGAGTCTCTTGGGAGCTACCTTGTAAATTCAAGTCACAAACAACTAACTTTAAAACTTTCATACATGAGGAACTTTTCTAGTTTCCCTGTCCCCTTAACTGGTACATAGTTTTATTATTAGGCCAGAGATTTAGCTCAGTGGCACCAACACCTACCTGGCAAGCATGGGGTCATGAGTTCAATCCCCGGTACCAAAAACAACAATAACCACAACATAGTTTTATTGTCCTCTGACACCCAGAGTGCAGATTTTCCCAATAATATAATTGCAGTATTTTCTCCCCTACTTTTAGTTATTGGCCAAGATCTACAAAATGCCCTTGAAGCCAATATTCCTTAGTGGGCGACTTGCCAGCTTGCCTCGAAGGCTGCAGGAGCAGTCCACTAGCAGCGAGGATGGCATTGAATCGGTCCTGGCTGATTTTGATGACGACACTGGTGAGTTAATTGATTCAGTTAAACCAGGTTATTTACTATGTTCACAGCCCCAGGAGTTTAAGGCATAAATTAAGTAGCTCACAGTTCATAAAAGTAACCATCTTCTTTTGTTTCTTTTATAACAAGTTTACCTAAAGTTGCCATGGACTTTTCAAAAAATCACTTTATAAGCAGTGCCGGTACTTTAAGCAGGCTTTTTAGATGTACTTGTGCAGAGTTCACTAAATATACTTCCAAACTCTGAATTATCTTGAGTCTAGCAAATTGGAATGAAGTTGCATTAGTGCATTGGTACCTAAATTGCCTGGTAATTGTCCTTAATAGCTTTTAGGAAACACTGGATCATATATTTACTTCTTGCAGGACTACTCAGATGAGGGACATCAAGCTATTACAGTAAGAGAGAATCTGAGACTAGTGAAACTGAAGGCTTGGGGAAAAAATCATTTTAGAGAATTTCAAGTTAGAACCCCTGTAATTGCTTAGGAATCAGAGTTTAATGTAGTAGCTTTGAGTAATTTTCAGGATGTCTTTAGATAATAATTTTTACTTAGCATTTGAAAGCTCCAACCCATACAGTTTTAAGCAGAAGCTAGTGTTGATTATCTGTGATACATTCTTTTACAACAGTTATAAATGCTTATGTATTGAAGTGAGCAATTTCGTTTCCATTTGTAGGAAACATTAATTTATCCTTTCCCTAGGAGAGGTATATTTGTTGATAAAGTTCAGCCAAGCATCTGTCTAAAATTTCCCACATTAGCAATTCATCAAGGAGTTTAAAGATATAACTATGTACAAAACACAGATCAGAGAAAAGAATGAAAGCAAAAGTTTTAAGTTAGTGTTAAAAATTAAACAAGGCCTGGGGATGTGGTTCAGGGGTAGAGCACTTGCCTAGAATACACAAGGCCCTGGGTTCATTCCCCAGCACTACTGAAGAGTACTATAAACAATTCTCAGTGTAGATATATTCTCCGATAGTATTCATCTAGCTTCCAAAGGCAAAAGGATTACTTTTTACCTTTCCTGGAAATTTCAAACATTCAAAACTAGAAAGACTACATAAAATACATAATACTATGTTTCCCCAAAAATAAGACCTAGCTGGAAAGTAATCAGCTTTGAAAACTGGAAATCAAAAATCCCCGCCCCAGTGAGCCCGCCCTACCTTCCCTGCCCTGCGGAGCAGCCCCTGAGCAAGAGGACAGGGGTGGCAGATACGTGCGGAGTGTGGGAAACGGGACAGAATGATGCGGCTTACTTTCAACTGTCAGTTTATGCAGCATCTCAGATCATGTGTATATTCTGTCCCCCTCTCTTTCTAAATCTGTTTAAGGCAAAACGTGAAGCACTATAGCATCTTACATATAAAAATACGTGTCCTTTAAAATTAATGTGGGAGACAGAGGTTACCTCTGCTTCCTGCCCTAATCTTTTGTGTGTTCTTCGGCTGGATCTAAAAGTCTGGTTAACATAAGAGCTAATTAACATAAGAAAAGCACATATGTGTAGTTGTACTCATCTGGAATTGTAGTACTCTTTTTTTTATTTAAAGAGAAAAAAAGAAAGGACATAAAAAAACAAAGCCATAAAAGAGTACAAATAATACAGTATTTCAAGAAAAAATAAACAGTAAGAAATCACCAGTTAATAGGTTACATATTATCTTCCCAGGAACAGTTGTCCAAATTACAAAATTAAAGCATATAAAGTAGACATTCATACAGTGAAATTGGAGACAGTTCCATTCAATGATCCAACAAAAGCTCAGTAATATGGTTTTCCATCCTACACACTTGAACGTACCTGCGGTTATATCCCTTAGTCCACCTTCCTTTCCTCTCTTTTTTACAATAACAATTAGACTTTTTGGGTTTTATTACTCCCACAGTTCTTATTACTTTTTTTGAAGAGAATAAAACCAAATGTAACTAAGCAAAACAGAGTCAGTTAGAACAGAAGGGTGGGCATAGCATATGATGCAAAAATAGAATACCAGTGATCAAAAGTGGTTACCATTGTGCCTCTTGCTATTTTTAAACTGAGTTGTCTATATCATCAGATATAATAGAATTGATCAAAACAGTACAGAACAAGACCAATAAAACCTACACTGAAGACTTTGCAAGACTTCAAAAAAAGGATAATAGTCAAACCATAATGGGCATCATAGTATATCTTATTGCCTTCAAAGTGGTTGTCTATACCCCCAAACTTGATACTATCAAACAAAATAGAATATAGAATAATCAGAACAAGATGGGGAGAGCAATACTGGGGTTCAAATCAGGTTAATAGGAAAACCAAGAAACTTACTATAATATGTCCTGCTATTTTTAATTTAGTTTTCCCTTAATTAAAAGAATGAGAGAAAATAGATTAATTTTAAGAAGGGGAGGAAATTGAGATAAGAGAGGACATTGTAACAGAACAGTGCAGGGCAGAACCAAACCATTCAAGCATCATTGTGTTTTACCACCAGATAATCTAACATAATAGCAGTCGCCATAGTGCCTCTTTCCTTGAATTATTTGAGTGTAACTTCATATGCTATAACATCAAGCATATCAAGATAGTGTGAAGCCATTCAAGAGAATCCAAGAATGACAGGGTATTTAGAACCAACTAATAGAAAACGAACAACGGTTTCTTTATTATCTCTTTGCCTATAAAGAATTTTGTTTATACTGTAGCATATAGTGAAATATAGTAAGATACAACAAGTTAAAAACCAGTGGAAACAGGTGTACCACAGCTTGATGGGACTTCAAAACAAGATGATATTTAATCAGCACTAGCTTTTATGTTGTGTTGTTTTCTTCAAAATAGCTATTTGTACTATCATAGATACTAAAATCAAACAACCCAGGTTAAAACCATTGCAGTTAATGAGTGAAAACATTATGTGGCTTCAAACCAATATGATTGGGAATCATGATTACCACATACTTTTGTGTATTATCATTTCTTACACTAGGGAAACTATTCGGTATTTATACATATGAGTTTGATTTATTTCACTTGAGGCTGAGGCAGGAATTGCAAGTTTGAACCAAACCTGGGTAATTTAGTGACTTAGCAATACCCTGTCAAAAAAAGAAAGAAAAAATGTAGGAGGGCGGGAAGAGGAGGGAAGGAGGAGGGAAAAAAGGGGCAGGAGATGTAGCTTAGTTTGATCTCTAGTTTTCAAAGTTGGTTACTTTCCAGGGAGGGAAGGGAGGAGCATAAACGTTTTATTATATTTATATGCACATGAAAATCTTCACAAGAGTGAAATCTGAAGAAATGACCACGGTTTATGCTTTTATCCATCTCAAATAACACATAATAGGTGTGTGAAGGAATGGCAGGACAGGTGGAGCTCTGGGCCGGGGTCGTCGGCTCCAGGGAGACTGCTAAGAGGGGGATGGAGTGGGGCAGACGCTGGTGGGAGCTAAGGGTGTCAGGTTCTTCTCAAGTTGCTTATTCAGGTGTGTTAGGGTTCCACTTACCAGCACATAGATTACGGCTGTTTTCCTGCCTTCATAGGTGAAGGAGAGAAGAATCCTTGTAGTGTTGCATGTAGGGAACAATAGGCCAGGTGCTCCATCTGAAATGACAGATCCTTGAGTGATTCAAGCTTGAATGCCAATATATAACAATTTAGCATATTTTGAAATGGCATGTCTCTGAGTACTTCAATAACAAGCATAATCACAGCACTATTGCCATACCTGAAATTAAAAATAATGTACGTAGAGTCAAGCCCAGGGGCTGGAGTGAGAGGAGGAAGGGAAGCTGCAGCTCAGTGGTTACAGAGTTTCTAGACGAGAAGATGGAAAGTTTCAGAAATAGAAGTGAGCGTTGTACAGCAGCATACATGTCATTAATGCCATGCAATCATACACATGGAAATGGCTAACATGGATTTTTTCATTATACATATTTACTGCAAAAAAAGACTAAACTGATGGACCTAAAAGCATGTTCCATCATTAACTCCCAAGAAGTCTGACACTCATCTCAAAAGACGGTTTACATGTCACTTTGTTATTAAAGAGAATAAAGACTTTCGGCAGGTGTGTCCTTGTCACTTTGCTAGATCATGGCAGTTGTCATCTGGCCTCTTGTGGGTCCCCCTGAGCACTAACACCATTGTGACATGCAGTCTGGCAACGCGTGGCACTGTCCCCACAGTGTCTAATCGGATCTTGCAGCCATCCTTCACAGTGTTTGCCTGGCTCACACACAGGTCTGCTTTGTGGTCCCCAGGTCTGATAGAAGTCTGGATCACCCTGCTGGAGCAGCTGACAGCAGCTGTGTCCAACTGTCCACGTCAGCACCAGCCGCCGACCTTGGATTTACTCTTTGAGCTGTTGAGAGATGTGACCAAAACGCCTGGTAAATATTTCTGTGTCTGATGTGGGGGAGAGTATTATACAAACCCATTTTTTTGCAGGAGAGTATTCCTGTGAGTGCCCACCTGTTTTTCACTATTTCTTAGACTTAACTCAAACCTTCATGATCTCGGGCAATATTTGTTGCATGGCTGTGATGGAGGGATGTTTACAATATATCCCTGTTCCTGTTTCTTCTTACCAGTCCATTTATAGAGGTTGTCGGTCAGGTAGCCGGGCAGTGTTGGCACCGTACATGAATCAGGCTTAGGCTGGGCCCGTCTGTTGGTGTCTCGTACACCAGTTGACTCTGCCATGTTCCACGGTCACAGTCCTCCCTGGCCAGATCTTCCAGAGCATGGTCTGGGGAGAAGGCTATCAGCAGGGCTCACCAGGTCTATTATTGACATAAATGAGCTGTAACAGAAAATGGTCCCCCCAGCCAGTATACTTCGGTTTCTTAGTTGCTGAGGTTCCTGCCTCTTAGAACAGCTGGCACTGTAATGCATAGCTGGTCACTATGATATATATTGTGTAAACCAATCCCCAGCTGGCAAGTAATTCTGCCTCTGCACTTCCTGCTTGTTTATCCTATATAAGCCCTAGACCACCAAAGATCAGGGCCTGATATTCTGGAAATGACTGCAATCAGTGCCTATCAATATAAATAAATATGCCTTCAAATTCTGAGGGTCATTTTGATGCTTCTTCTCCCTATTGCAAAGCCACTGACAGGCTCATGACAGGGCATCTTGCTTGTATACAGGTCACGGATGATTAGAGTTGGAGAAAAATTTGGTACTTACCTAGAACAATGAGTTAACCAAGTTTGGCATATGTATTTCTTTATCCCAATTTTCCCAAGGCCAATAAAACTTTTTATACAAATGTTAGTTTTTACTAACAGAATCAGAATGCTAAATAGAATACCAGTTAGTTCCACAGGGAGGAGGAAGTGTCCATGTTCATCACTATGGTGACTTGATAACAGTGTTTCAAAATCCATAGTGAAGTTTGTACTGGAATAATTTCAAAAAAAAAAAAAACACTGTAGCTACTTTGACATGTTAGAAAATTGGACACCTTCCACTGAAGAAAAAGTATTTTGTAGAATTATGTACCACTATTTCTAAATCTGACTCTGCCACTAAATCTGCGTGGAGTATTTAACCTAATAATTCTAGCAATCTATCATCTACGAATTAACAGTAATGAATAAAAATGTATATGTGTTTCTTAAAATATCTTGAATACTTTTAAAACTAAATTATGAACACCCTACTGGGGAGGTAGTTAAGTAAATTATGTAATATAGTCTTCAGGAATTAAATTAATGTTTATGAATAGTATTTGATAACAATTATTTATAAGGCATTATGTTAAAAGTTTATAGACAATAGAGAGCAATCTCAACTGTATAAATGAAATTTTGTAGATTTAAAAATATATACATACCCAGTCAAAAACTTCTGGAAAGAAATATATATTAAAATGTGGTTATATCTGTGGGTAAGGGTTTTCCTGCTCCATATTCTCATATAATTTGTGTTTATTATAAAAACAGAACCTTATTCTTTTTTTTTTTTTTTTTTTTTTTTGTCTTTTTCCTTTTTATCGGTACCGGGGATCCGGGGATCGAACTCACAACTGCCTGTTGCAAGGCAGGCGCTTATGCCGCTGAGCTAAATCCCCAGCCCCAAGAACCTTACTCTTAAAGTAAGAATTAAATCTATTAACACTTCTATAAGGAAGCACAAATGTTTTTCTCTATAGCATTACCTACAAGCAAAACATTAAATATCTTAAATGTCTGTCAGTAAAGGGATGGATACGTAAGTTATTGCATACAATGCAATGGAAGCAGGGTGTGGCAATTAAAGAATATCTAAATTTGCTGAGCAACGTGCCAAACCAAGTTTATAGGATCTCATTTCAATAAAAGTAGCTTAAACTGGAAGCCAGTGTTTTACAGTATGCACTTACAGTCCCAGCTACCTGGAAGGCTAAGGCAGGATTGCTTATCCCAGAAGTTCAGGGCCAGTCTAAGCAACACAACACCCAATCTGTTGACTGATTGGTTGATTGATTTGTAAATTATGTTCCAATTACATATGTCATTTTTAAAGGGTGTTTTCTTATATGTATATATGTATCTGTGTTTTTGTAGCGCAGGCCTAGGAGTTGATTGATATTTTAGCTTTATCAATCCTTATTTTTTTGTAAAAGTGTGTCCAGATATTACTTATATAACTAAAATTATGCAGAAACAATAAAGAAAAATGCCACCAACCTTCCCCAACCACTGGCAAATTCTTATTCCCTGAACCTTCTGAAGGAACGAGGCTGTCCTTCGGAAGAGACCCCTGATGCCACACCGTGTCAAAGAGCTTCCCCCTTGAGATTACCATCTTGACACTGACCTTTCTTTTTCAGGCCCAGGGTTTGGAATCTATGCAGTCGTTCACCTTCTCCTTCCTGTGATGTCCCTGTGGCTCCGCCGCAGCCATAAAGACCATTCCTACTGGGACATGGCCTCTGCTAACTTCAAGCACGCCATTGGGCTGTCTTGCGAACTGGTGGTGGAACACATCCAGAGCTTCCTGCATTCCGGTAGCCACTGAGCTGGAGCTGGTTGTTCTGGGCAGCATCATTGGCTAAAATTGCTTCAAGAATACCTAATGCAAAAACCATTGTCTGGGAACTACTAAAATAGGATTACATAGCCAGGGCCAGCCATCTAGTAGGATATTATCAAAGGGCAAACTGATACTCATGTGTCCTCTGCAAAATTATCAGAATACTCTATACATATAGTTAAAAATAAAATTCCCAATAAGAAGTCTGGCATAGAAATCAGTTAAGATAGTCAAGTACCTAATAAACTAAAAAAAAAAGAATAAATATTGTAGCTGTGGAGTAGGGAAGGGGGGTGTATCCTGCAGCCCTGCTTTATCTGAGGAGGCTTAATGAAGGGGGTAGTGTTTTAGAAAAGGTTTCAGCTATGGGCAAGAAGCTGGCTAAGGATGAGGAGAAAGTGCTAAGACTGTGTGGAAGTGTAGGGTGGAGAAGATGCTCAAACAGCATCTGGAGAAGGACAGAGAGGCAGGAAAATATGTCTGTTTTGGTACTAGTGGATCTGCAGTCATGAAATGCAGATTCTTAATCATGCTCTGCCCCAGGAGAATCTGGCGGTTGGGAACAGGAGACACATCGCGGCCAGCCACAGAAGTTATAAACAGAAGACAAAGAACACCGACCAGGAGGATGACTCACAAAGCAAAGCAAAGGGGCCATCTCTCTAGGTGTAATGAGGACAGATTTGCCCTGCAAACAAGACCACTAATGGAGAAAGGAACGAGTAGACTTCTGCACAGGCAGGGGCTGGCGGTAGCTGTAGGGGGGTGTTCCCCAGCAGGTCACTGTTTCACACAGCACAGGACTCGGGAGGGTCCTCTTGTAAATTGCTTCTGTGGCATCACAAGGACCCGGGGAGAGAATGTGGCTGCGGTCCTTAAATTAGGCAAACAGAACACACTTTCTAGAAGCCATGTTTCCTTTAGGCAGCATGATGTGCAGTCAGAAACAAGACTGACAAGCAAGAAGAAGTGGTGGGACCAACTAGAGATTCTGTTCTGTTTTCCAAGAGCATTTAATTTGGCTATCAGTTGGAAGTATGAGTTAATTTTTCCTGTTTAAGAATTTAAATTTTGTACTAACATTCAGGCTGTGTAGTGTGTTCCATTTTGTTTAAGTAGGTGAATTCTATGCTGGACTTTGAGGAAAATGTACATCAACATACAAAAGTCAGATGGTTCATCCTGCTCTGTGTGGTTATGGTTGAGACAGCCACAGTTGGGCACAAACCCAACAAACATTTTCCCAAGGGCTTTGAGGGTGTCATCATTTTCCTCAATGTCCTATTTTTTCCCAGAAATTTATGTACTTTTATCACCTAGACCTTTTCACTTTTTTTTATAGGTGGCCATTTCCACCTATTCCTTCCTACCAGGGCTAAGTGAGACCTTGATTTTGCTTTCTCTAGACATCAGGTATGAGAGCATGATCAACACCATGCTGAAGGACCTCTTTGAGCTGCTGGTGGCCTGTGTGGCCAAACCCACAGAGACCATCTCCAGAGTGGGCTGTTCCTGCATTAGGTGAGGAAAAGGGTTTCTGACTTTCCACACAACTGGACATCTCATTATAAAATCCAAGGATATTAAATTATCCTTTGTGGTAGCAACCCACCTTTTGGCTTGTTTTTTATAAGTAAAGATGACTGTGTGCCAGTAAGTCTTCGTTTCAGTGTCCAGTCAGCAAATGTTTATTCCATAAGGCATTTTACACAGAACTGCAGGGTGTGGAACATGTTGTAAACTAAGATCCCAGTTCGGGATGATGTAAGAGAGGAGGTCACATAAAGATGGCAGTGGGGAAGAAGAACTTACCAGTGCAGGAAGGGATGGGAGCTGGGCGGTCAGCAGGGGCTTTGCTGCAGCAGGAGTGACACTGGGGAGGGTACTCCACGGTGAGCGGTGAGTGTGAGCGAGCCCTGGACAGGCGGGACCTCCCAAGTGGGAAGACAAAGCGAGCAAATGCCTGGAGATAAGCATGGCAAATGACAATAAGGGGTTTTGTTTTGTTTGTGTATATTATTTGGAGCAGCGCAGTGGGAAATGGGGCTCGAATGGAGAAATCAGTCCAGAACATTCAGAGTCACACATTCAAGTCTAAAGGTGAGGATTGGGCTATTTGTGACGGGCCCATTGCTATTTCTGCATTAGCATCTGAACGGTGGACCACACCTGACAGAAAGCTAAAGTGATAAGCAGGGATAAGAAGACACAGACTGTGACTGGGCACGAGTCCACCAGGTCCTGCATTCTGTGCACTCCAAACTTCTCATCTCTCCTGGCAGGTACGTGCTGGTGACGGCCGGCCCTGTGTTCACGGAGGAAATGTGGCGGCTTGCCTGCTGCGCCCTGCAGGAAGCCTTCTCTGCCACCCTCAAGCCGGTGAAGGTAGGTTGCTGGGAGGAGAGAGCCCACGCACATCTCCCCCTCCTTGGGCATTGGTGCTCCTCAGGTGAAGGATCTGCATACTGCTTGCTTCCTACAGGGGATGAGAAAGTTCTTGGCTCAGTGTTTTGTCCGATGCATAGTGACAGTGCCACATCCCAGAATTAGAATGCATCTGGTGAGCAGCACCCGCTGTTTCTCCCTAGGACTTGCTGGGCTGCTTCCACAGCGGCACAGAGAGCTTCAGCGGGGAAGGCTGCCAGGTGCGGGTGGCGGCCCCATCCTCCTCCCCAAGCGCCGAGGCGGAGTACTGGCGCATCAGAGCCATGGCCCAGCAGGTAAGGGCTGTGCTCTGGGGTGGGGCCCCAGCAGCCAGAGGTGCATGCTGGGAGGCCCTGCTGCAGGTGCCGGTCACCAAGCCACCTTTCCACCACATCCTGCCACAAAACAGGTGGCAGATGTCAGTGCAACCCTCTTCTGAAATACATGTCAGTGGAGAAGAGGAGCAAGGAATCATTTTACTTCTCAGTATTTCTCTCTCTCTCTTCCTTCTGTATTTATTCTATAGTAACTGCCAGTTCTTGAAAGGAGACTTGCTTAAAAGGAGTGTAACATCCATTCAGGGTGGACAGCGAGCCACTGCTAGAAAACACCCCCCAGTAAGAATTAAAGCAGCCAAGTTTAAAATAAAGGACAAGGGTTTATTTGAAAGTGAGGAGGGTGACAGGCAGCTATTCTGGACAAGCTGGGAGAATCGAAAGGGAAATACACCTTGGCTTTGGGTTCCTTTTCCCTTTGTAGGCTCCTGGGGTCTGATGGGCTCCCTGGCTCTTTGGTCCTCCCCTTGGACTCCTTCTGGCCATATGACCTGTCCCTGCACCTTGTAGGTGGAGGGGTGGGGGACCTTATGGAAAGGTAGCTTAAAATTAAGGGGGAAGTGTGCATTGTTATGTTACATCTGCTGCTTCCTGGGGCCTTCCCAGGGCCTGATTTCTTCCCTTAACTGCAAGATAGCTGTAGAGGCAGAAGCTGCCTTTGAAGGATTCTAGGTTAATTTTTAACAAAGCTCAATGAGACCTTCATCCTTTCCCTACAGACCCCCCATCCCTACAGCAGTCTACAGTTTCCAGAGTATTTTAAATCACAAGAAATGGAATCACTTGGTTACTATGTTTGGAGTTACTTCCACCATTGTCTAGTGGAGTAGCCGTATCCACAGTGCTGACAGCAGAGCCCTAATTAACTTCTTATTCCTGCACTGGATGGAAGACGATGCCAGACAGATGTCAAAATCAGATGATCTTTTGCAAACACAGCTCCTTTTTATTTTCTCTTGATTAATACTAAATGTCCGTGCTTGTATGTGGACCGTAATGGATTGCCTTGTGTAGGAGCAGCAGTGTTATTAGTGTCAACACCAGCGTTCACTGTGTACTCTGCTCCAATGTTTGCACATGCAGTGCACATTTATCAGTTTACTTTCAGCAAACACAGGAGGTAGGAAACCATTATCCTCCTCCCTGTACAGGTAAGGAGTGGGTGAGCATAATTCTGGGGAGTCGGGAGATGACGTGGCTCCCTGAGTGGTGCCTCTGCCCGCCCCGCAGGTGTTCATGTTGGACACCCAGTGCTCCCCGAAGACTCCAAACAACTTTGATCACGCTCAGTCCTGCCAGCTCATCATCGAGCTGCCCCTGGATGAGAAGCCGAATGGCCACACCAAGAAGAGGTGAGTGGTGCTTACAAGGTTCATTCACTCCCAGCTCCAGCTCGTTTTCATCCGCTTTGACCAGGAATATCAAAAACGTTTGTGCAGTCGTGTAGCGAAGGTTCTCATAGACACGGTTAACCCTGAAGCAAGTTTCCTACGTGTCCTGTGTATTTAGCCAGTGGTTTGAGGGACCGCAGCACAGCAGCACGCTGTGGGTGACTTAAACCGTGGAAAGGTGTTTCCTCACAGCTCTGAAGCTGGAGGGGTTAGTGGGGCCTCTTCTGAGGTTTCTTTTTGGCTTAGTCATGGTCCTCTTTTCTGTGTCCTCACATGGTCATTCCTCTGTGTGTTTCTGGGTCCAGATTTCTTACTAGACTGAGCTTCATCCTAATGACCCCATTTTTATTTCATTAACTCCTTAAATACTCTTTGTCCAATGAACCTATAATCTCAGCACTCAGGAGACTGAGGCAGGAGTATCAACATGAGTTTGAGGCCAGCCTGGGCTATGTAGTGAGTTCAAAGCCAGGCTGGCCTACATAGCAAGACCCTGTCTCAAAAAAAAAAAAAAAAAAAAAAATATATATATATATATATATGATCCTAGTGTTTACAATTTCAATATATAAATTTTGAGGGGACACAGTCCCACACCTGATATCATACATATTGCACAGATTAGATTATTTCAGAGAGAAATACTACCTTCTTCATTAGTAATACTATTGTCAAGGGTCAGAAAGATTTGTGCCTGAACATAAGGAACTTTTTTTTTTAAATACAGCAAGTCCCAGACCTATGAACAGTTCTGGAATAAAACTCCTTTATAAGTTGGATTCATTAGTAGGCAAACAAAGCGCATCTTACACAGAATACCTGTGAATGTTTGCGATTTGTATGTTCGGAAGTCAGGGGTTCCCTGTCCTATATCATCTTGTCTGAAGAGTAGTTTCTGGAGTACGAGTCAGTGGTGACTGGGGTCCCCCATTTAAACTTCTGGGGCGCTAGCAGTAGTGCTGATGCTTCAGGAGTGACTGGTTCGCTGTCTTAACCTTAACTTCTGACGTGCTGGTAATAGGAGGTATGGAGCCTTTGGGAGGAAATTAGGTCATGAGGATGGAGCCCTCAAGCATGGGGTGAGTGCCATGAAAAGAAGAGACCCAAGAGTCCCATGCCCGGTTTCTGCCATGAGAGGACACAGGGTGAAGTTGGTTGTCACCAGAGTCCAACCGTCCAGCCTCCAGAACTATAAACAATCACATAAGCTACCCAGTCTGTAGTACTTTGTACAGCAATATGAGCTAAGAAAGTCGTATTTCATAGGCCCTGGGACACTTATCCAACAGTATTCAATTAATACTGCCAGCTGAGTGGAACTGTCAGGTAGTAATTTTTAGTCAAGTGCTCACTTGGACAATACACATAACTTTTTAAGTCAAATTTGATACATCCAGGAAAATATATGGAATATTCAAAGGTTATGAAGCATGAATCGAAACTAAAATATCCATGAATCTGCCATGCAGTTTCCAAAGCTGAGCTGTGCCACCGTCTCACGTGCTCCTCCAATCCCGCCTGCCCTCAGCTGCGTATGCAGTACACATAGTTTTTAAGTGTTGGTCACTTCTAACCTATTTTACAAACCAAAGATTCTACAGTTGTCTCACATCTTTAAACACTGGTCTGTTTGGAATTTCAGTTCTTTTCCTACCTTTAACTTTTCATTTTGAGACAGAGTCTTACTAAGTTGCCCAGGTGGGGCTCGAACCTGCGATCCTCTTGCCTCAGCTTCTCAAGTGCTGACAGATTTATGCTACCAAGCCAAACTTCTTGTTCTACCTCTTGTTCTTTTTTTATGTTTCTGATTTTTATTCAGCCAATTTTTCTTGTTGAAATATTTTCAAAGTAAAAGTAGAAAAAGGGAGTGATAATGATAGACTGAATTCAACAAAAACCAGGCCTGGTGCATGTAAGGAAGCGTTCTGCTGCTGGACTAACTGCAAATCTGCTGAATTCAGTGTGTAACTAAAACAGGGAAAACACAGAATAACCTAAAAATAACCAATATTTGTAGGGTTTGAAAGATTTTTTTAATGTCTAAGATTTTAAAATACATCAATATGTATCATAAACTTAGTACTTTTAATAGGCATTTTTATACTCACTGTATTTAGGTGATTAATTTTTTTAAAGACTACTGGCTTTGATATCCCTTTATTACTCATTTTTGTTGAGAATAATGTGCTTTCCCTCAGTGACAACGGCACAGAAGGCAAGCCAGCATGTAGTTTGGGGTGAAAGAATTTCATTAGGTAAAAAGTACTTTTTCTAATAATTTTATTATCTTACCTGAATTTAAAAATTTTTATAAAGCAAAAGTTATTAACAGTTGAATCTTTTAAGCTTTTAAGAGGAGTTGCCATAATTTTATGAGTATCCAAATACAGGAATTTGTTGGCAGTCTAATGACATGAGGTATTTTTACAAAATTCTAAGAGCAATAAAAATAACATGAAAGCACAAAACCCAAAACCCCATTGGTGGGTTAAAATGTTTGGAAGTTGAAAGTGTCTTCTTAGTACATAGAAGGGCTGAGTCACCACGTGTGTCTGAAGCCACCCGACCTGGTCGTGTCTCCCTTGGTAACACGGCAAGAAGTTGTCATGGGTGACTCGTGCATGTTCCTCAGCCAGGTGCCCTGGCCTGATGTCCTGGGGTATTGTCCTCCTCGCACTCTCTTGGCCTGAAGGACAGCCCAGGGAAACTCAGTGGCCATCCCAGGAGCCCCATGGCCGAACCTGCACACTGGGAATTTGAGTCAGTGTTTTCTCGTCTCCTGTGTTTTCAGAAGGCTGTAATTTACACTGTCAGTTTTTTCCTATCTTGGCGATGGTTTGCGCCCCCACCTGCAACCTCCAGCATTAAAACGTCTCAGAGTTTGCTTCTCTTTTGCACACACTGCCCAGTGTTCAGTTTTCACATCAACATACCTAAAGCATTCGTCTTTAATCCAGGAAAAGTGGTTTGCTACCAACACCAGCCTCAAATGTGACTTCAGGACACTTCTGGTGAAGGGAAAAGGTTACTTAAAACTGAAAGCATTCAGAATTTGTTACTTTTGTTCTTTTATTACTGATAACTAGGCAAGAAAATGTGCCATATCTCATAATGTATCTATTTTTAAATTTTTTATGAAGCTTATTTTCCTGAAAGCTTGGTGATAATTGAGTAGCCTAACTTAGCAGAATTCCAGCACTTTTTAAAATCCAAGGTGCGCTAGAAGCTAAGTATGATTAAAATGGATGCTTGCCTTTTTTTAAAAGAAACACACTGGAATACAGACAGTGTGGCTTGTAAGTTGCAGCCATTCTGAAACGGATAAAGTCTGCATCACTGTGAAATGACCAGGATAGCAGAAGGACACTAACCAGGCCCTGTGTTATGCTTGGAAGCGTCTCTTTTAGGGAAATCGTGGTGAGCCTGTTGTCGCACCAGGTTCTGCTCCAGAACCTTTACGACATCCTGCTGGAAGAGTTCGTCAAAGGTCCATCTCCTGGAGAGGAGAAGACAGTCCAGACGCCGGACGCCAAGCTGGCCGGCTTCCTCAGATACATCTCCATGCAGAACCTGGCGGTCATCTTTGACCTGCTGCTGGACTCCTACAGGACAGCTCGGGAGTTCGACACCAGCCCGGGGCTCAAGTGCCTGCTGAAGAAGGTGTCTGGCATTGGGGGCGCCGCCAACCTCTACCGCCAGTCTGCCATGAGCTTCAACATCTACTTCCACGCGCTGGTGTGCGCCGTGCTCACCAACCAAGAGGCCATCACTGCCGAGCAGGTGAAGAGGGTGCTTTTTGAGGATGACGAAAGAAGCACAGATTCGTCCCAGCAGTGCTCGTCGGAAGATGAAGACATCTTTGAGGAGACAGCCCAGGTGAGTCCCCCGCGAGGCAAGGAGCAGAGGCAGTGGAGGGCGCGGATGCCCTCGCTCAGCGCGCAGCCCATCAGCAATGCGGACTGGGTGTGGCTTGTCAAGCGGCTGCACAAGCTGTGCATGGAGCTGTGCAACAACTACATCCAGATGCACCTGGACCTGGAGAGCAGCGCGGAGGAGCCTCCGGTCCTCAGGAGCGACCCGCTCTTCATCCTGCCCTCCTTCCAGTCCGAGTCGTCCACTCCGTCCACTGGTGGCTTCTCCGGGAAAGACACACCTTCCGAGGATGACCGCAGTCAGACCCGAGAGCCCCCGGGCGAGTGTCTGGGCCCGCGGGCGGGCAGCGGGGATGTGCCGATGCTGCCCCCCAGCCCCAGAGTGGAGAGGAAGGACGCCGGCCGGAAGAAGGAGTGGTGGGAGCACGCGGGCAACAAAATCTACACCATGGCCGCCGACAAGACCATCTCAAAGCTGATGACCGAGTACAAAAAGAGGAAGCAGCAGCACAACCTGCCCGTCTTCCCCAAGGAGGTCAAAGTGGACAAGAAGGGAGAGCTCCTGGGGCCCAGAGGGCCGGGCTCCCCACTGCTGCAGCGACCCCAGCACCTGATGGACCAAGGGCAAATGCGCCACTCCTTCAGCGCAGGCCCCGAGCTGCTGCGGCAGGACAAGAGGCCCCGCTCCGGCTCCACAGGCAGCTCGCTGAGCGTCTCGGTGAGAGACGCTGAAGCGCAGATCCAGGTACCTCTGAGGATGCGGGAGGGAGGTGGGTTCCAGAGGTGAGCCTCCTGCAGGGCATGCATGCTCAGGTTTGCTAGAAACCAGTGGAGGTCGTGAACCAAGCTACCTTCCTATGACCCGAGCCTAAAACATAGGCTCTGCTTTTATCCATCAGTGTGAAGCTAAAATTTCATCCTCAGATAACTTCAGAAACCGTTTGTCTGTGTTGTAATGCATATTATTGAGAATTAGGAACCCAGATATTTAAGATGAAACTAAAGCCTACAAAATGGATAGATTTGAACTGACATTGAGTCCTTATGGCTTGTCATTTTCACATAGCACTGAAGAAATTTATCATTCTGAAGCAGAAGCATTGTGTAAATGGAATACTATGTTGTGCGTGAACAACTGGCCAGTTGTTCTCATTGCCAATCTTTTTGATCCATCCTGAGCACATGAAAAGTCTCCTTCTTCGGGGGGGCATGAAGTGTTCCTGTTTATCACATAGGTGGTATTTGTAGTTCAGTAGTACATCAAAAATAGTAAGTTCAAAAGGAAAATCGCAGTGATAGTGTTTCATTTAGTTTGAGAAGAGATGACAAAACAGAAAATGAATCTAGAGAAAGTTCTTTAAAAATAACCTGAATGCTATGTTAAATTATAGGTTCCTATCACAGGTACAATGCATAGTACATAATACAGGTACAATACAATATATAACTGTGTTTCTGTGAACCTGTACAATAATCTATTAGAATGAACATGAATTTGGAATTAGCATAACACTTGCAAGATGCCTTATTTTCCTTGAAAGTATCTTTAAAGTATCCAGTCATTTTGAGAAGTACAGTTATTCCTTAGCAAATGAAAGCCTTGGCAAGCCATACATCTTAATTGCTTTCTCATGCCTTGTGGTTTTGCTTAATAGTTTTAAAAGTTATCCTAAATTAGGCACAACTATTCCAAGAAATTTAGGTACTGCAAGACTACTAGAATATCACTATTTCATTATGAACAAGCGAGAATTTTTTAATCTAAAAATTAAACAAGATTTTAGTAGTTTACAAAAAGCTAAAAATAAGATATCCTTAATGTTAGGAATCTCTGCGTATCCTGAATGTGAAGTTAAAAACCACAGTTACAAGAACATTAAATTATTAAAAATGAGTTTATGATAGCCAAGGACTAAGAAAACCCCTTTGCAGTTTGGTAGGGCCTAATCACACTGCCCACTGAAATCATGAAACGGCCAATAATTCTCCTGAATCCTTTCTTTTAGGCATGGACCAACATGGTGCTAACAGTCCTCAACCAGATTCAGATCCTCCCAGACCAGACCTTCACCGCCCTCCAGCCCGCAGTGTTCCCGTGCATCAGCCAGCTGACCTGTCACGTGACCGACATCAGAGTTCGCCAGGCAGTGCGAGAATGGCTGGGCAGAGTTGGCCGCGTCTATGACATCATTGTGTAGAAGACTTGAACTCCATCTCCGAGGATGTACAGTAGCCAGAGTTAGAGTCCGCCTGCTAGTCTAACTGATAGCATTTTCCCCACTACCAGCCCCATGTAAGACAGAAAAATGTCCCCTAAGATTAAAAAAAAAAAAAATACTTTCCAACCACTCCCTAACAAGCCTTGGGCCATCTTGGATACCAAGGTGACATCCAGATAACACAAGTGATCTTCTGATTTTGTACATTATCACAGAAGATTCTACAGTCCTTGATATAATTCTAAATCCTGAAGTTTATTTCCAAGTGCTTTTGCTTGCAATGTTGTCCCCAGATGGATCATTTTCAAAGACCACAGCTATGAAAACACTACACAGATCCATTGGGGTCATCATCTTAAAAGGGAATGCAATTCCTAAGGAACTACCCGCTCGTGAGTCAAGCTGCTGTAAAAACACTCCTATTTAGTTAGAAAAAAATTTATGATTATGAGTTTGGCTGGGAGGAAAATAGCTACTAAAAGGTATTTTTCAGTACCACAAGCAAGAAACAGATGATTTCTGCTGTGAAATACTCCAGAACATTTCACCATTATCCCTAAATTGTTAAGATTTTCAGGTTAATATTCGCTAGCTTCCCCCCTGTAAGGTACTGTTGTGCCTTTCTGTTTCTAAAAAAAGAAATTCTTTCCTAGCAGAGTTGTAAATCTGGCTTGGCAGCCTTTTAATACACAGGATCCCATGGTACTGGCTGACGCATCTATCATTAAGAGACAACAAGGAAAGGAAAGAAAAAAGGTGCCTTAGTCCTTGGTTGCACAGACATTTCTATGCCCCACGACTATCTGAACCTAAGGTCCCACACTCGGTTTTTAAGAGAACCAAATATGAAGATGTAACTCACTTTACATTAGTGTTCTCGGAGGAAAGGCACTGAGTCCTCCAGACGGCAAGCAGACTTCTCAGGGAAGGGGGCAGGAAGTGTGGGGTTGGGAGACAGCTGGAAGGGGTGGGAAAGGGGGCCGTCATGACACATGACGTGACAAACATGAAATTAGCAACAAGCTAGTCTCAGAAGAAAAGACTAAAGGACAGAGTGAATTTTTGAAAATTATTTTTTTCTATTTAAAATGCATCTCTATATGTTTAAAGTCCTTTTATGTGTTTTTTAGGTGGTTTTATTTTGGGTGTTTTGGGTACTAGGAATTGAACTCAGGACCTTGTGCTTGCCAGGCAGGCACTGTGCCACTGAGCTGTGTCCCAATATTTTAAGTAACTATTTCTTTCCCTAAGTGTTACTAGAAAATGAGTTTAAAGCCTTTATTTTATGACTGTATGTGTATATATATAGACGTACGTACACACACTTTTTTGTACCAGGCTGGGGATTGAACCAAGGCTTTACTCAGGCTAAGCACACAGTCTACCACTGAGCTACACCCCCAGTTCTTACTCTGATGTATTTTATATTTCTAACATTATAATAATGATTGAGCCTCTCATGCAAGTCCACTTCTATACACTCTAGAAAGTAGAGTTGGTTGCTAAAGCATGCATGGTACTTTACCAGCACCTGAAAATGTATTCATATGTCATCATTAAAAATAAAAACTAAACGTCAACTCTTCAGTGTTGAAGTGAGGCTTTGAAATGGACTAAGCTTCAGCCAGTGATAGTATTCATCAACTTAGCCCTTGAGAACTATCTAGTTATCAGCCAACTTAGAGCAGGGCAATGTTTTCTCACTAAGTTGACCAAACAAGAAAATCTTCTTATTCACTGCACTTCTAGAGAGAACCACTGTATCCAGAGGAAGTTTTTCTAGTTCCATAAAACATTCTCTTTGCCTTCAGTTTTTTCTCACTGGACAATACTTCGCATTTTCAAACAGACCAACTATTTGTGCTTAACAGACAATGAATTACTGGAATAACAAACAGCTGTGTTCTTATCTATAACTTTTGAAACTGTGTACTTTGTGGAACTAAAAGTTGGATAGACTTTTTTTCTTCCCAGTGCAAGGAGCATACCATGGTCATTTTCTTTTGATGGCTCAGGCACTCTACAGTTTACGGGCAGGGGGTCAACAAACCAGAATACAGAAGTAGAGTACTTATGAAATGCTTATATGTAGTGATCTTTCGTAAAGTATACGGATTCAAAGGAAGCAGTCTCAGGGTCCAGGACATCTGTTTAGAAACGAGAATTCACTCTCTTGCAGGTTCTCTATCATAGACTCTAAGGCGTGCTCACGTGTATCAGTCTCCCCATGGTGTGTCCAAACTGTTCTGTGCCAGTCTGGCTATGAGCCCAAGGATAAAAAGATGAGGAAGTGTACGCAGCCCTTACCTACAATCTTGTAGAAGGTTTTGGGTACCTTCCCATCTTGCTGACAGCCCACTCATTCTGAATGCCATAGACTCTTATGCCCAGCTCCAGGCCTACCTGACGTCCAAGTCCACGACCAGTGTCAGCTGGGAAAGTAGTTAGATCACAGCAGTGCTTCCCAGAACTATCTGCAGTCTTCAAAAGGACATTGCTTAATGCGGTGTAGTCTCTAAAGAGTAGGACTGAAAGCTGGGCATAGTGTTGCATGCCTATAGTCTCAGCACTCTGGGAGACTGCGGCAAGAGGCTCCCAAGTTTGAGCCTAGCCCAGGCACTTAGCGAGAGCATTCCCCAAATTAAAAAAAATATATATATCTGGCGATATAGCTCAGTGCAAAGGCCCTGGAGGGAAAAAACAGTGGGACTGCAAGAGAATCTTGAGGGGAAAAGGTGGTAATTCATAACAGCTGGCAGACAATGTCCCCTCCCAGAGAGAAAGTCCCTCACTTTGCATTTTGGTAAAATGTGCTTCCTAGAACCAGCATGGGGAGAACGCTGAGCGTAAGATTCCCTGACTGAGAGCCCAGCCAGGGCCACGCACTCTCTGTAGGGCTTTCTCTGCCTCAAAGAAGGGCGCTGCTAACTATATAAGATCTCAGATTAAAATATTTTAAGTACAGTGTGACAACAGTGTTAATCTCACCCAAAAGTACTTTGATGTGAGATGTGCTGGTGTGGTGATTACCAGGCTTTCCACACTCGGTGTTCTCGGAAGGCGTGCAGAGTCTGTGGAAGGGTGAAGCCTCCTTGCCTGTAGCAAGGCAGTGAAGCTGTATAATAGACACCCGCGGCCTCCCCCAGTCCACCACTGTTCTGCTTACAGAATGGTTTCTCAGAAAGGAAAAGCCATCAAGGTCATTCCCATCAAAGCAGAATGAAGACCTTTGTGTAGAAGTGATAACAGCAAGCCCCTGAGTGTGGACCTTCACCTGTATCATTCAGTTTTGACGGTGACTTTGGGAAACAATTCTCATGTTTCTCATCTCTCCAGATTAGAACGTAGACCCAGAGAAGTTCAGACATTAGCCCCTACATCACAAGGAAAAGGCAAAGCTGGTTACACAAGAAATGCTGCTAGACCAAAGGCGAGACTTTCTCCAGCCCACGTGCTAAGTGCAGAGTCCGGAGGTGGGAGGAAGAGTTTCTCAAGGAAGTAGGCAGTGAAAATAATATTTGCTTGATCTGTGTTCAAAAATAAAGGACATCAAAATCTAAACTTGAACCATAAGGGAACCATTTAGTGTTACTTTAGAAAATTAATGAATGAGAGAATGCTATTATTCGTGGCCAGCTATTAATACAGAAAAGCAGGGCAGTCTGGGTCCGGCATGGCATGCATAATTTGTAAACCTTTCCAAACACTAATAAAATATTAATTGACTCAGAATAAAGTGCCCTGTAGCCAACAGTGCCTCTTTACTTGCTTCTCTGAGAAGTGCTAAATTTGTAGGTCATCATCGAAGTTTGGAAATATGCAATATAAATAACCATTTTTTTCAAAAGGCACATTCTAGAAAGAGGAAGCAACAAGGTGGCCAAGATTGTTTAAAGATCCAGGTACTAAGGGCATCAGGACAATGTCCATAGCACCCCTGTGCCATCATACTGCAACATTCCCACAGGCTCTGCAGACAAGAAGACTAACTCCAGGGTCCTGCAGTAACCTGCGGACAAAACCTCCATGTGCTTGGGGACCACTGAGGTGAGCCCAGCAAGATCTAATGTGGCCTTAGAGAAGCGTAAGAACCTTTTTCAGCACTTTTTATTGAAAAGATGATCTTGATATTGGGAAAGATTTACAGTGTTAGTTAAAAGTTTGATGTGTGCATTGAGAATGTAGTTCAATGACACGGCACTTGCCTAATGTGGTGAGAGGCCCTGAGTTCAATCCCCAGTACTGCAGAAAGTAAAAGATTTATAATCATACCATCTCAAAAATTGTTCTGTTTATTCACTAGCAGAGCAATCTAAAAAAATACATTTGTCTGGAAGATCTTCTCCCTCTGGCCAAAGTATAATATTTGTGCTTGATGTAGATGTAACATATAACCTCATTAAGATTTTTGGAACAGGATATCACTTGAATTTCCAAAACACAATAATATTACTTTAGGGAAGAAATTATCCTGAGATTGTCTAGAAGAAATTCAGTTGAAAATATTGTTCAAAATCCTTACAAACAGTAGCACTACTTATGAATTGAACTCCACAGCTCTAGCACACCAGAACCTTTTCCCTAGATCTTTATATAATGATGCAAAATTTCCAGGGACTGGCTGACCATTTAATGACAGAGGTACTACACAACTAGTGAGTCTCACCCATTCTCCTTTCAACCACAGAAATCAGTTGTGTTGCTGGTTCCTGTCCTGTCAGTCTAGCCAGTGGTTGTCCAGTTCCTTTGGTCTTAAAACAGTGAGTTCTCAAACTTCAGTATCTATCAGAATCACTTGGGGGTGGGGTCATGCCCAGAGTCTCTGATGCGATAGACCTGGAAATTTGCATTTTTAACAAGTTTTCCAGTGAAGCCAATTCTGCTGCTGTGGAACCACCGCTTTTGAAAAAAGTCCAGCTTCCACCTTCTTAAGATCAGCCTGGCTTCTCAAGCACTGGAGAAAAACTGAACTTGCCTTTGGGCAACTTGGGATTGGATTACCTGCAACATTCCTATTCATTCTCCCCAATGTCCGGGTTTATTACACCAACAGTAGGTTTTTACATGCTAGAAGACAATGAATGTATCTTTCTATGGAACAGTGACATAAATCTAAGCTTCTTGTCTTTGTATTTAGAAACATTGATTCTATGAATGATCGTTTGTATCATGTTGACTTTTTGACTTGTACTGAAGGTGATTTTAAATTTAAATACGTGGTGTTTGCATTTCTTTCCATACCGTTTTAATGACACCCTTTCCATGCTGGCTCATCTCAGCCTGGCTCCTGGCTTATAGAGGTTTGTGAGTAGGTGCTCGCTTGCCAGCTGTTTTTCACCTCACGTTGGTCATTGAAATATCAGCATTTCAAGACACTATGACACTGCTCATTCTGTCTTCATCTGTCATTTAACGTGTTAATTAGCATCTGAATTTCATACATCTGTAAAGAGCCTACCAAAAGGCTTCATGGAAATTTGCAAAATGAACTAACTCTCTTTTGAGTAGTAGATGTGCTTGCTTTGACTTTTTGGTAAATTTGTGCGCATACATGCACATTGGAGACTGTATTATCTCATCTTCCAAATGATGGGAAAACTAAAAAGTGGATCAGTGTGCTTTGGGAAAACAATGAGATCATGTTAACTCAAGTATAGATGGGGCCTTAGTTTATGTTTAATTCTTTATTCAAGTAATTAGCTTTAGAAATTCTTTTCCCATTAAAAAATAAGGACCCACAGAAGGATTTGAGAAAAAAAATAAGTTTCTTAAAATCGTCATCTACTTATAAACTATATTATTTGCATATAATTCTTATTGATTCAATAAAGTTTCTCTAAAGAGTTATGCTTAATAAATACCCTGACCTCACTTAAGTTAACTTAGACTATTGTATAAGTGGAATGTAGTAATTATAGGCACTAGAATTAGTGAGATCAGAAAGCATATTAGAGTGTTAATGATATCAAGGATTCAAGTCTTGCCTCTATAAATAGAAATAATTGAAGATATTTTTTCCTCATGCATCTCATAACCCTTTTTAATGACAGATTTAGTTCTTTGAATAACTGATTCTAAGATTAAATTTTTAAAAAATCAATCTCTAGGAATAGTTTATTTTCAAAGTGTTTAACCAACTGGTGCCAGAAAGGGGTGGGTGAAACATAAAAGCCACTTTTGGAGTAACGTGTAAAATACTAAGTTTTCTCTTAAAATGAAGGCGGTCCAAGCACCCATAATGACGGCCCCCAGGATCACCCACGGCTACCTCACGAGCATGGGCAAGCTCCTTGGTTTTGTTCCCTCTGGAGGTCTTTCTTCTGGTCTTGTTGGCAGTGTTTCTGCTAACACTGGCTTCTCACTGATCAGGCACAGCGGGAGGAGGATGAATGCTTCTGACACTTTTGGTTTTGCTCCCACTGAAACTGCCTGGTAAAATATCCAGGCACGGCATGATGGGCCAGAGGAGGCACCTTGAAGAAAGCTTATTTTTGTTTCTTGACTTATGTTGGGGTGAGGAGCTCCAAGTAATATGTTTATTGCCCTAATCATGCCAAAAGACCATTCTCAAGATGCTTTTCCTGCTTTTCTAAGAAGAGTAAGTTTAAATAAATTACATCACAAACAGACCCCCACTCCCATCTCCCATTCTAGATAAAGCCAATGGGGGCTATAGGTCATTTTATCCTTTCTTGTATTATACCAAAGAATCGACTTATTTTCATTAAAAATTATAAATAAGTGAAGAGAGGTATCGCTCTAATGATTTGCATCAGTATACCATTTTAAATATAAAATGTAAAATTCACCCTTGCAACCCTGTTCACCAGGAGCCTTGAAGCATTTTGTTTATTCCAAAGGCCTTGTTAAGGAAGTATAATTTTTGTTTTGTGTTCTTACTCAAATTTGGTCACATTTACATATTAAAAAAACCTGAAAACTCTTTCTCCTTTATATGTTGCTATAACTGTTGGATTTGATATACTCTGTCTGTCCATTGTTTATCAGGTCTCTGTATGCAAGCTTGCAAGTGTATTTTGTGTATATTTTATCTGAGGTGAAAAATTAAGATTCTAAAGAGTAAATATTTTAAAAATATACTGTATTTATGTTGCTTGTGTTGTAGAATAAAGCTTCAAATGCATTAAAAATCTGACCTGTGAAATACTACTTTACTGAATAAATGTATTGAAATAACTTATGAAAATAGCCCATTTATAGAAATCTGCCAAAAGAAACCTGAATGTAAAAGGCTCTTTCCAATCCTGTATGACCAAAATTGTCACTACTAACCATTTCAGATATGCCTAGAAAACAGATTTGCAGAAAAATATACCATTGTCTCACATCTTTTTTTTTTAAGAAAAAGGGACTTTTTACAATGTTTCCAACTTTTCCATACAAATGATATCAAATTCATTGTCAGTGGATAGCATGATTCATTTAAAACCATTAGAATATCACCTTTTATTCATAGACAACTAAATCCCTCAACTACAGGAATATTTTCAAGCAGTAGTGAAAAGAAAAATGGAACCATGTCTGGTTTAATTCCCCAGCATCTCTAGGAGGAGAAAGAGGAGAAAGAAAAGGAAGGAGGGCCAGGAGAGGGAGGAGTAAACTCAATCACTTACGAGGATGAAATAAAACTAAACTAGACACAACCGTGTTGAGATAGGAGGTCATGCACGGCAAAGCTGGCCGGGGTCTAAGTTAATTACCTGTTAATTACAAGATCCTAAGACAGTGCCAAATAATTCCCAGCACCCCTTATGGAGAATTTCTCACAGGCTCCTGCGAGATGTGGAGGACATGAGAGAGAGAGAAGATGCCAGGAGGGGCCCGCGATTGGTAGCTATTGGTAGCAAACCTCTCTTTCCCCCCCCAAGATGTACCTTTATTTTTGACTTTATCCTTCCCTGATTGGCCCAAGTTTGCTCTGTGGAGGAGGTTTCTCACACTTGCACCCTGCACTTGCCAAATAAACTTTTGGCTTGTCTCACTCAGATCTTTTTTGGAGGCAAGAAAGACCTCTAATACTTTTAATCGGGGAGGCATTGCTAAAGGATTGATCCAATAACAATCTCTCGTTTAAGAATGCCACAAACCACACAAGGAGATGGTCTGCCATGGTAGAGACAAGGCCTTGGGCCTGAGCACAACACAGACTTCTCCACCTTAGCTTCGTCCCTTCCTGGAAGTGGAAACACCGATACCGCTCGTCTACTCAGAGCAGAAGTGTCCAGCTCTGTAGAAGGAAAAGAAAAACCTTTCCTCCAAGGGTAGTTTTCAAATAAAATCAAAGCTCAGTGTGGCAGGAAGTAGCCCCAGTTTGGCAAATTGACACACTTTGAGATCCAACACGAACGTCTCCTTGACATTTGCACCTTGAATGTGCTTCAGTGCGGCTTAACAGTTTCTCCCTCTCTGATTGGAGGAGGCCAGCGGCTCGGGAGCAAAGCTCTTTAATTGTTTTAGAAATAAATTCTAGAGCAGTGGCCAGTTCTTCAATTATTAACATCCAGCATAAATACACTCTGTGCATAAATCTAGCTGAATTTCTTTAGAGAGATTTGATATGCTTCAACTCTTTGGCTTATGATCAAAACTTGTATTACAATTTAGCTTTGATAAATATTGCACAGCACTCATTAGAAAACTCACTTTCCCATCCAGCCTTAAGATTGGCACAATAAGCAAGCGAAAATAAAATCAAAGTCTAATGCAATACTGCGGTTTTCACACACTGACCATAATTCCGGTCATCTCAAGACCATGAAAGAGTACTTTTAGCATGTTTTTATCTTTCCCTTGTTTTTATTTTTAGAGTACTGATTACCACATAAAGTGTTTCCTGCCTTGAGCCTGCCCTGCTTCCTGAATCTGGTTGCACAAAATGTTTTGTTGTCAGAGAAACAAATCACCCAGTTTAATGATGTCAAACTGAGATGGTAAAGGTACAGTAAAATCCCAGAGAAGTTTACAAGTAGATTCTAAGTTATCTTTTAAAAATACTACAGGCCAGGGATATAGCTCAGTGGCACAGCATCTGCCTGGCAAGTGCAGAGTGATTCCTGCATGAGTTTGATTCCTAGTACCAAAATAATAATAGTACTAGAAACTAAAAGTTTCTGTTGTGACATGAAAGATCAAATGTGCAGTCATTCAGAGCTGAGAACTCAGATACTAAGCTTTGATTTGCTTTGGTATGATTTCTTATCCTCCTTTGTGTCAGTGTGTTACTTATTCCGAACTAGCACTGCAACCAGTATAATGCGAGGAAATTAAGCAACATTCTCCAGCAGAAAATAAATTAGATGTTAAATGTTGTGATGCAAAAGGCTTCATTTATCACTGAACTTGGGGAAAAATGAGAACTGAAGCTAATTCTCTGATTATAAAAAAAAAGATTGTCTATATTATAGCGAAGAGTTGAATGGCCCACGTTTGCTTTGATCTACTCCTAGGACAGCCTCAAGTCAGTAAATACTTGATGGACTTCTTCTACTCTAATAATGGGTGATAAGAACATTCTTCTAAAGACTATAAAAGCATTTATTTTTCAAGTAGAAAAAAGATATTACAGGGCTTTCACACCCAAACTATATAGGAATGTTCTTTGAAAATGATGTTTGTTCTAATCACAACCAACTGAAATCCTGGGCAAGAATCCATTCATACAGATTTACAGGGTTAAAATTTTGATGGCTAAATGGGCCAATTTAACCTGCTCTTATTCCTAACGAGAAAACATGTCTATGAACCTTGGGAATTAGAGCAGGATCAGAGACAAACACCACCTTCTGCTCACCAGGTCTGCCTCAGCCCCTGCAGCGGCTCCCATCCCCAGCTCTGCCCAGACACCTGCACTCTCCTGCCTGCACCTTCGAGCCCAGGAGCTAGCTGGAAATACATGAACATCATGCAGTTGTTTCAAAGGCTGCCCCTGAAAGGAGTCACAGGTCTCAGCCACTATCAGAATACCCTGGGTTAGATCTTTCACGAAATTGTGGACTGATCAAAGTTCAGAAACAGACACAAGTATGGCTTTAAAAGATCTTCATCCAAATATCATAGACACACGCTGTTAGCCACTGTTATAATCAGGGCTTTGCAAGGGAAACAATTTAACACAGAACACAAAATTCATAGAATTATTTTATAATAGTCATCCAAAGAGTCAAACACAAAAAGTGCAGGAAATCTATCCACACACTAAAGACCCCGAAGAATCTAGCAGAGGGGCCTGGGTCCCATGGCAACATCTTGTATGAATCCAGTTGAAGACCCAGAGCCCATGACCATGCCCCCATGAGTTCAACTGGAGGCCTAGAGCCCGTGACAACAGATCTGCACTGGGAAGGCCCAAAGGACAGCGGCAGAAGCTAGAAAGTGTGCCAGCAGGGTAAAGGTTCTGTGCCAGTAGGCTGAGGGTGATAGAACTGTGGGGGACCGGTGGCTGAAAAGATAAGAAGTATGAAATATAAATGACCTTTATTTTGAAAATGCGGTGAGAGACACCCCCAATCTCCTGGGGTGCGGCATCTCCACCTCGGGTTCCGTGATCTCTCCGTGGAACACGTGGAGTGAGGCACATAAGTAGCCTCAGTTTGGGGTGGAACCTAAGGGGTATTAGGGATGCACAGGTAGCCCATTGGTCTTTGTTTGGTGCCAGAGGTGGATTCCTAGGGGAGGGGAGATAGAAGCTCCTTGGCTTTACCAGCTACAGTGCCCTGTCTGGGCCAAAACCCTTTCAGAGGGATCTGTACTGGAGTTAAGAAGTGACGCTCAAAGTAAGGACCAGGGCGCCCCCAAAAAGTACCACAGCCAGCCTCAGGGACAATGAGATCCCAAGCTCCTCTGACAATGAGAACTGCCGAGTTCATATCAGGAAGCCAGTGTGACAAGCCACTCCTGGAAACTAAACAGCACACATCTTTCTGCCAGGAAGCAGAAAAGACCAGAGCTCCCCCAAAGTGAACTGCAGCCATTCTCAGAGACAACGAGGTCCTGAGCTCCTCAGATGATGAGAACAGCCAAATTTATATCAGGAAGGAGTTTGGCAAGCTCCTCCAGGAGAACCAATGCACCTGGAGAACCAACTATACAACACCACTTCTTACTTTCTGGTTCTTTTTATGCTGGCAACAATCCTCAGGGGGGCCATTCACATTTGGCTGATTCAGTTCAGCTGGGTGTTACAAGTTGCCCACCAGTTATCTATCAATCCACCACTGCCACCTTTCTTCAATATGAATTTGACTGAAAATATTTGGATATTTGCGATCTGAATCTATGATTTTCTCACCTCCGTTTTTCTCCATTCTTTCTCCCTATTTAAGTAGTTGACTCAGAACTGCATTATTTCAGGGAAAATATACTATGGGACAATATGCCCATAATTAATTGCCTATCCTGCCAATTAAACAGATCTCCAGATCTTCTGAAAACTCAAGCTACTCGTGTGTGCATGTGTACACACACACACACACACACACACACACACACACAAATATCACAAACTCTCAACAGTGGAAACATGAAAGAAATAATTTCCTTCCTCTTTGATTAGAACTAAATTATCAAAGAAAACATTGTTCCACACCAAAAAAGATGAAAGCCGGGGAGGACCCCTCTACTGATGAGACTGTCACATCCCAGAAACTCACTGTTGTGCCTTGTTCCTGAGTGGACTGCGCAGGAAACAGTCCCGGTGCCTGAATGTGGCACAGAAAAGCAGGAAGATGCGACACCCCAATATGCAGCGCATAGGTGGCAAGATGCGCAGCTTTCCCTGAGGGCAAGCTCCCTGGATAGGGTACCTTGGGGAGACAGCCGCTCAGAACTCTGTCTCCAGCCTGTACTGCAGCAATCCCACAAAACCAAGTGGGTATTACCTTGGCAGAATGGATACACAAAACATTTCTAGCTGATACAGTAAAATAAAGAAAATTTAAATTTTGTACATGAAGTTTTAGGCTGAAATTTATGTTTATTTTTGTAGAGGATAATCTAAACATCAGTAGGAAACCTTATGTCATTAAAACTGAAATGGAAAAGGAAGAAGGGAGGGAGAGGAACAAAGAGGGAGAAAGAAAGAGGAGGGAAGGAAGGGCAGGCGGGAGGCAGAAGTCCGCAGGAGGCCATCTGCCCGGC